CTTCTCACGGAGTCAGATAGGGTGACCCACTTAGCCCCTACTTATTTATACTTTGTATGGAACGACTTGGGCATTTAATCAAGGAGGAATGTGAGCAAAGAAAATGAAAACCTTTCAAATTCAAAGGGGGACCATTTATTTCCCATCTTTTCTTTATTGATGATGTGCTACTATTCACAGAAGCCTCTTTGACTCGAATGGAGGTGGTCAAGTGAGCTATGATGAGATTTTATAAAATTTCTAGACATTGTCTTAGCATGTCTAAATCTACAACTTTCTACTCGGCCAATATTTACTTCAACCATACCAATGAACTTTGCCAAAAACTAGGAGTTAGCCTTACAATAGACCTTAGAAAATATTTAGGAATTCAATTTTTCCATTCTAAAATCACAAAAGCCAAGTTTGCACCTCTTATTTATGAAGCGTATAAGAAATTATCATCTTAAAAAGGAAAGCTTTTGAGCATGGTAAGAAGATTATTGTTGATAAAATCTGTACTGGTTAAGGTCCCTATTTATCATATGCAAGTCCTACTCCTTCCTAAAAGAGTTCTTAATGAGATGGAGAAATTTAGTTGAAACTTCTTGTGGAATCAAACTGAAAAAACGAGGAAACTTCACCTTGTGGCATGGGAGACTATTAAAAAAGAGAAAAGTCTTGGAGGATTGGAGTTCAAATAGCTATATAAACAAAATCAAGCTTTCATTATAAAGCTTTATTGGTCTTTCCTCACCAATCCTAATAGACTTTAGGTTTAATGCTCGAGGGCAAAATATAATTGTCTCTCATAAGCTTTTCTTAATGTGTCTACTCTTAGAAATCAATCTGTGATTTAGAAAAAGTATGGTGGCTGTTTGGGATCTATTCTCTATCAGTCTTGGAAAGAAATTAGTTATGGTGAGAATACTTTATTTTGGTGGGATTCATGGACAACTCTTGATAAGCCTTTTATGCATTTTAAAAATAACTCCTCTTAGAGTATAAGTTCTAAGGCTATGGTCAAGGATATGATTCATAAGGATAGTAATTGGGATGTTATTAGCCTCCAATAATAGTTGCCTTAGTGGGTTATTCACAAAAATTTAACTATTAAATCGTTGGAACAGGTGTAGATCATTGGGTTTAGATAAATTCTAAAGATGGATGGTTTTCAGTGAAAGTAGCATATAAGTTCTTATATTAGCATTAAGGGAGAGCTAATGAACATGGGTAGAGTAGCTTTTGGAAGTTGTCAATGCCTGAAAATATCAAATTTTTCATGTGGCAAATTTCTCTTGATAGACTACCCACGAATTCTCTCAAAGCTAAGAGAGGTCTTGCCTTAAACACCAAGTGCTATTATGAGTGTTAGAGTGAGGAAAACATTATACACATTTTGTGTGACTGTTCTTTTACTAAGGAAACTTGGTCTCATTTTATTAACCCAATATAACTATCTAGTTTTCTTTCTGGTGATTTACAGTAGTGGCTATAGTGGAATGCAAAACATCACCCAAGTAAAAATGCTTTCAAATAATGGTCATAGATGAATTTATTCTTTTACATTTGCTAGGCAATTTGGTTGTGTAGACGCAAGTAAATATTTTAGCAAGTTGAAATCATGCCCAAGGAGTGCAAACACCAAGTGCTATTTGGAGTTCGTGAAGGAGCAACCCTTGGTCAAGTTCAATACCATCTAACTCAAGGAGGAATGAGAGATAATGCTAGGTATGAGCCCCCTACCACCTGTTATGTTCGAATGGATGTGGATGGCTCGGTAACTGTTGAAAAACATACAGCTTGCAATCGAATCTTAAGGAATTCTGATAGAGAATGGATCTCGAGCTTTCAGAGAAAATCAAACCCATGACCATCTGTTGCAGCTGAACTATAGGCGATAAGATCAGGCTTAGAAGTTTGTCAACAGTTAGGTTATTCAAAAATTCATCTTTTTACTAATTCTTTAGATGCCCTTAATCTTATCTTCTAAGATAAGGGATCTAACTGCCCTTTAAAAATGGAAATTGAGATCACCAAGGAGCTTCTTTTTAGCAGCAAGAATGTGGAGATTTATTATACCTATAGAGAAAGCATTGGTTCTGCTGACTTACAGGCGAAAAAGGCTCATAGATCTGAGCATGAATTCACTTTTCCTCCTACAATTCTAGTAGTTTGTTTTGCTATCTATGTTGAGAAGTTGAACGGTCCTACTTTAGAGTTTTTACTCTGTGTTGAAATCATATTTACTGACGCAAGCTTTTTGCTTGTCATCTTTAGCCCAAAAAAAAACATTAAATATGCAATGTTCCCCTGAGAAATTAAAATGTTCACATGAAACAAGAATGGAACACCAAAGCCTGAAATCAATAAAATGGAGATGCCATCATATATAGCACAATTTTTTACTTTGGCTTCTTATATTTATTTATTTGCAATTATTTATAAATTTATATTTTATGTCTCCTAGACACCGTCATATTTTGTAAAATTATCATTATTAAAACATCAATTAGCATATTGTTCTAGATACTATTACTTTTTTGTAAAATTGTCAAATTAATATTATTTGATCTATATAACTTTGTTTAGTTTTTATGATTTGTTTGATTAGTGGGGAATGGAGGAAAAGAAAAAAAGTCACTGCACTTAATTTTAAAACAGAAAATAAGAAGATTAAAATTTTTAAATTGTTTCCTTCCTCTTTTCTTTTAATGTCTGCTAAAATTTTATAACCTAACTTGTTCGATTTTCTTAAAAATGAAACTTGACAAAATTCTCCTTTCCTTCTCTCAATTTGATTTGAACCAAAGAGAGGGATAATGTCTCAATGCATCTCACATAAAATCTAGCTAAATTTAAAGGCAAGGGTGATATACAAGATTAAAAAAATGTTTTTTTTATTTGTTGTCTGCACATGGGACTTACTATGAGTATGTTTAGATAACATCCTAACTTAGGTTGGGATGGCTCAAACCTAAGTTGGGATGTTTAAAGCTAAATTTATCATGTTTGGATAATAAAAAAAAAAATCAACCATAGTTGGTGTCCAAACCAACATTTTTAACGAAGCTCATCATTAATGTTTGGGCATTTGGATAAATAAAGTTGGGAGTAATGTTTTGAAACCTGAATTGAACATCGAACTGGAAAAAGTAATGGGTCACAGTTTTCATGGTTCAACCGATTAGACCGGCGATTGAACTGGTAACATAAAAATTGCATAAAAATAATATTTATATACACAAATATAAAAATAAATATTAATTTGTTGATGGTGTTTGGGATCTCAACATTGAAAGTTAGATTCTTAGATTGCTAGAGCTAGAGGCAGAGGTTGGAGGAGAAATAAGAGATAGAGTACGAGCCATGGAGGAGAGATAAGAGATTAGAGAAGAGAAGATAGAAGAAAATTTGAGATTAGGGAAGAGAAATCGTGAATCTGAGTGACTTAGTCTTTTTTTTTATTTTTTGGCTTTAAACTGGGTTGACATACCCCTAAGTTTCGAGTTAAATCCAGTTTTATGAGAACTGTCCTGTTCAATCTGTGCAAAGGAAAATTTAGTTCAATTGGTTAAACCAAATCATTTTACTCAGCGAGCAATGGTCGAACCATTCGATCCTCATAACAATGGTTGGGAGCATTAAATGCTTTTAATTTTTTTTTCTATTTCTTCATTATTTACTATCTACACAAGCCCGTGAGCCCTAAGCCTTCTTCTTTATTATCATCGTCCTATGGTTACTCTGAGATGGCTTGCCCTTTACTCTCCCAGGTCCGCTGATGAACGAGAGACCATAGTTGCCGCCGCCGGCTAGAGCCAATCTCTGTCCAAACAAGGAAGAAGAGAACTTGTGATTCAAGCAGCCAAGTACCATAAACCGCTTGCTACACTCCGATGACACATTGCTAGAACAGAGGGAGAAGAAGTCTAAATGCACTTGTGAGATGCAAATCCACAACGATGGAAAGGATGAAGATGACTGGAAAAGATCTGAATACAAACACACAACCACATGGACCGAAGAAACATAGTTGATGTTGATATTTTCCATTGGAGAAGGAAAGAGCTTGAAAGGTAAACTCACAGCAACTCCCTCTCACGCCAACAGCCAACTGAGAATAGAAAAGGAAGGAGAAAAAAAGACAAAGATGGTAGAGGGTTCTTAACTTCTTCAGTCTGTCTCTAGTATTTTTATGATCGAAGAAGAAAGAAGAGAAGAAAGAAGGGAAAAAAACTCTAATTAAGGTGGGGGCATAATTATAATTTTATGAGGCTAATATAATAAAATAAAACAGGACTTGAACACAAGACTTAACTAATGATAAGTTAGCTCAAACTCCACCAAAGCAACTCTCATTCTTCTTAAATTGTGACTCAAGCAACAAACATATATAATATCATTAAAATGCCTCACTATCATTTTTTTTAATTTTAAATAAATCCCAAGTCATTACATTTAGAGTATGGAAGAAGAGTTTGCAATTATATGAAAAGTAACCAAATTTAGATATATGAAAAATTATTCATAATATAATCAGAGATTAACTTGTAGATTATATCAATTGAACATTTTATAATTTATGAATTTATTTTAGCTTTTCACTGTTAAATATTTAATTTTTTTACTTATTGATTGTAATTTTAAGTTTATGATTTTTTTAACTTATTAATTAGTAAAAAAATATATACAAAAAATTTATGTTTATTTTTTTCATTAACAATCTCAGCTGATTTTTAAATCAAATCATTCAAATAAACTTCAATTTATCTAACTAATTTATGAAAAAATATTTAAATATAAATTACTTTATATTAACTTACTTTTCTCTTAACTTTTTTTAACCTAAGGTATAAATTTTTTAATTCGAACACGCACAGTAGCTTAAAAAATTACGACATTCGAATCTCATTAGCTCAGTCCGAAAAACTTGCCCGGGGAAAAAAATCTTACAAGCCCGGGGAAAAAGAACTCGAGAATTTTCACATGAAGTCTGTGAGGCACCTCGGAGACTGCAAAACAGGAGGAGTGAATATCCACGCGCTCAGCGCATCCTCAAAAGCGAGTGTTTCGAATGCAATTGCATCTTGGCACACAACAACCATAACGTGATCACCCAACATCGCTTTCTTCATACTTTCTCGGCATCTTACGGGAAAAAACGTCAGATTATTTCTCAAGTCTTTCTCAGTTCTCTTCAATTTATTTAATCACTCTGTTAAGAGGCAAGTTATAACTTATAAGGCCTTCCTTCCCTGGGTCGGTGCTTCCCTGAGACAGAAGAATCGGGAAAATCTCGAGTTCCATCAGCAAGCAAAGAAAGTTTCGGACCAAGGATTGTGAAATGGGTGAAACCGAGCACCACCATCCCCCGCCGCCAGCACAGACGCCACAGCCTGGACCACCGCTGCCTAATCTCGCACTCTCACGGGGGCCCACTTGGACACCCGCCGAACAACTCCTCCAGCTTCACTACTGCATCCATTCCAATCCTTCCTGGCGTTAGTATCCCTCTTCCTCTGATTCTGCTCTTCTTTTGTTCATTTTTCCCTTTGGAAGTTCTTTTATTTATGCCAAAAAGCTATAAAGGTCTTTGTGATGTTAAAAGGAGTCGAATTTTTTTGAGAGGAAAAAATTTATAAATTGAAAATCAGCTCCGTGTCTCTATCAAGTTTGTGGCTGAAGGGGGATGATGTGGCTTGTTCTGGGTTTCTTTTTCATATTTAAAATTTCTCTAGTGGCTTCATTGCAGATGACTTTTTTTTGCCTTTTCTAGTCTGATTCTCAGTAAAGTTCCCCTTTTTTCACTTACTATTTGTGAGAGTGGCGTCAATGAATCCAACTAATCTTAACTCTTACGTAATTCGGTGTGTTGTGTCTAAGAATTATATAAATTTCATTTCGATTTCTTTAATCGTAGTTCTCCAGCTTACGCTATTTTCTCCTTAGTCCTAGACCACTGGGCGACTAATACCTTCCTGAATCCGTCCACAATTTTGACAGCGGTGGCATGTCTACTGGGTTTTCAGCACTACATCGTGATGCTTGGAACTACAGTTCTGATTGCAAGCACCTTAGTGCCTCAAATGGGTGGGAGCCATGTAAGTATGGCCCCGGTTCTACTATAACTTCATACTATCATTAACCAACAAATAAGCTTGGCTTTGATATTCATAGCATGCTAAAACAGTTGGTCTTCTTGAGCAGGGTGACAAAGCTCGCGTGATTCAAACCTTGTTATTCATGTCTGGAGTGAACACTTTACTTCAAACATGGCTTGGGTCTAGGCTTCCAGTAGTGATGGGTTCTTCAATAGCCTTTTTTATCCCAGTGATGTCCATCGTAAATGATTACAGTGACAGTAATTTCTCATCTGATCACGAGGTTTGTATACGTCATAAAGTTTGTCCCTTCAAAAACTTTAGTCGTTATGCCATTGGAAACTTAACTACTCTTGCAATAACTTAAATTGGTGTTGAAGCTTTATATGAGTATATGTAATTATGATGATATTTGTAGAGGTTTACCTACACAGTTAGGACAATTCAAGGTTCCCTGATTGTTTCTTCTTTCATCAACGTCATCCTTGGGTTTAGTAAGGCATGGGGAAATTTAACAAGGTAAATTAATCTCAATCTCCCATATTAATTCACTTTTTCACCCTCTGATTCTATACAGTCTGATGTTTATATCTTAAAAGCAGTGAGAAACTTTGCAGCTTTAGTTTATCCTTTGTTTTATAATTCTTTGTGATTCTTCTTTTTCAACCAGATTATTTAGCCCAATAGTCATTGTACCGGTGGTTTGTGTGGTTGGTCTTGGTTTGTTCATGAGGGGCTTCCCACTGGTAAATATCCCTAATGCACTTACGAGTTTGAGTACATTATTGTTCATAATTGAAGATTAAAGGATAAAGTGTTAACTGTGTGACTTCTCTGCTTCAATACAGCTTGCAAATTGTGTGGAGATTGGATTACCTATGCTCATTCTACTGGTCTTAATCCAGCAGGTCTATTATCTCTTATCTCATCGAAAATGTTACTTCTCACTCCCCTTTGGAGCTGCAAATCTTTAGCTCATTCCCTCAAGGGTGGTCTGGGGAGTTACGTTATTTTGACATTCAAGGGGTGGCTGTACCCTGTTTTGTGCAATTTTTGGATGACTTTTTGATGTAACGTGGCTGCTAGCCCCTTCTTGATATAAAAAGAAAATTTCAGACTTTTACCCCTTGTCTGATCCTGCAGTATTTGAGGCGCATCATTCATCCTGCTGCGCAGCATGTGCTTGAGAGGTTTGCTTTACTTATGTGCATTGGCGTTATCTGGGCTTTTGCTGCTATCCTCACCGTGGCTGGTGCATACAATAATTCTAGAGAACAGACACAAACTAGTTGCCGCACAGATCGCTCCTACCTCATGTCATCTGCTTCTTGGTATGTTCAGATAGCGGTGCTTTTATTAATTTATTTTGAGTTTGAATGTTCTTCCGGAAATTTATAATTACTCATGTGTTGCTTTCCAACTCTAGGATTAAAGTTCCATATCCATTTCAATGGGGTACCCCCATATTCAGCGCTAGTCATGTCTTTGGGATGATGGGGGCAGCACTTGTCACTTCTGCAGAGGTCCAGCAACTGCTACTGTAGATGTTTATTTTTAAATTGCTATAGTTATTTTGATCCATTTCAGATTGACACCTTCACTCTCTTGGAAGTGCTAATGATTTACATTTTCTGAATTTTTGAAATTTTAAATCCTCCATTGCAGTCAACTGGGACTTTCTTTGCAGCCGCCAGGCTTTCTGGTGCAACAGCCCCTCCTGCACATGTCCTCAGCCGAAGCATTGGGCTACAGGTATAGTATTACAGCCTGTTTGGACAGAAAGAATAATCAATTTTTGGGGCAAATTACACAAATAGCAGAAAAAAATTGATAATTGATTATTGAGCTAGAATCATGTTTTGAAACAAGTTCTGAGAGGTTGCTTATAGATTCAATTTTACTATTAAATAATATATTTTACTTTCTAAGTAAAGTTTAACAAATTTAATAATATTAAATATAATTTTATCAATAATTTAATTTTGAAAAGCAATGTCCTATGTAGTAATTTGCACAACTAAATCAATTTTAAAAAAATAGTATCCAAACAGATTATTTTATAATATAATCAATTATAATTAAAATCAATCATATTGATTAATTATACCTAGTGGAAATCCAAACGGGCCCTTAGTGTACTAGTCATTGTGCTTCTTAATAACCAATTTAATTTGATTATTCTTTGGCTTCTCATTCTATCTTGTATATTTAGACCAGTTATAAGACTAGTTACTGATTATTATTTTTTGACCTCCTAAATACAGGGCTTTGGCATGCTGCTTGAAGGCATATTTGGTTCTATTGTTGGTACTACTGCATCTGTGTAAGCAAAACCGTTCCAAGCGTCACTTTTGACCCAACTCTAGCATGATTACTCAAAGTTTTGGATGCCTTGGTTGTGGCCTATAGTGACTTATTGACTGCGCTAAATATTTAGTATTTACATTGGTGCTTCATTTGTAATTTATATTACTATTAACGGGTTTATAGAAAATAACATGTTCATAGTTGTCTGATTCTTCTTAATGAGCACGTTGAAAGTAGGTATATATTTGATTATGCTCTTTTAGCCATTTTCATGAGTGCTGTTGCTATTTGAAACGTTAGTTTTTGGCTCCTGCCTGTGCTTTACCTTGACAGGGAGGATTATTAGTTTTGACCTAAATATGAGAGTTCTCTTTTATTCATTATGCTAGTAAATCAACATCATTTATTCGGACTAACACGGGTATTGCAGTGAAAATGTGGGCCTACTTGGGTTAACACAAATAGGGAGCAGAAGAGTAGTGCAGATATCATGTGGTTTTATGATCTTCTTCTCTATTTTTGGTAATATATTTCACCTAAGACGAGATGCAAGTGCCTGTTCTTTTATAAATTTTATATGTGATCAATTTATCACATCTCTTTCAGGTAAATTTGGAGCCTTTTTTGCATCGATTCCTTTGCCAATATTTGCTGCCATATACTGTGTTTTATTAGGAATCGTGGGTAGGTATTGCTGTTGTCGTGTAAGTTGTCAAGGTTGGAAGTTTAAATGATAATAATTGGCGTGAAAGCATTTTGCTTCGTTTTTTTGCAGCTGCTGTTGGGATCTCATTTATGCAGTTTGCTAATAACAACTCCATGAGAAATCTCTATGTTTTGGGTTTATCTCTCTTTCTAGGGATCTCGATTCCTCAATATTTTCTTACCAACACTACTGAAGATGGTCGTGGTCCGGCTAGAACTAATGCTGGCTGGGTAAGTCAGTCACAACTTACAAGGTGTCTCAGTTCTTGATTCCTTGTTGATGTGCCTTCTGATAAAAGGGGGTTCTTTTGTTATTTTCGCAAGCTTATAAATAAAACACGTCTTTCTGATTTGATTGTGTCACAACAGTTTAATGACATTTTGAACACCATATTCTCTTCCCCTCCAACTGTGGCAATAATCGTGGGAACACTCCTTGACAACACGCTTGATGCAAAGCATGCTGCTAATGACAGAGGAATTCCATGGTGGGTACCTTTCCAGTCCAGGAAGGGAGATCCAAGAAACGACGAGTTTTACAGCTATCCTCTCAGGATAAATGAATATATTCCTTCCAGATTCCTCTGAGAGGCATTTTGCATGCTTGTCTCTGGCTCTGCTGTGCCTATCATCATATTTTCCTTTAATTTTTATGATCATGTAAAATATAGACAAATTGTCACCATTTTGACATGCAACCTGATTTTACCTTGTATAAATTAGATTCATGTGACATTAGTAATTTTTTTCTTTTTAATATGGGGTGCCCTTAAATGCAAAATGTTTAAGTTGAATCAAACAATGCCAGCATGGCTGGTTTTATATCATGCTTGTTATCAATCGGCTGTAAAACATGAAATGCTGGTAATGCGGCCTGCGTTTGGAAAATATTAGATGGTGTGTGCAATTATTTTTGAGAAATTTTAAGGAAAACCCGGGACGGAGAATGCTCGTCAAGCCTCGAATGCGGGATAAACGAATATTCCTTCGGCAATGGACAGGGCAAGAGGTGATGGGTGACTAGGCCTGTGTGGTATGGTCTCTCTCTCTCTCTCTCTCTCTATATATATATATGTGTGTAGGTTGGTATGGTCTTTGAATATTAGTTTACATTAAAAAACGCATAAAATTCGTGCAGAACGAAATAATGGAGCACCCTGATGTCTGAAAGGTTTTGTCATCGCGAGTCGGTGACGAATAAAAATCTAGAACTGTTCGCATTAACGAGGAAGAAAATAACCAGCAAGTGATGGGACATTCCGCTTTTAGCAATTCTCGACCGTCAGATCTAAACGCCTATCTTCACTTTGCGCAAGGTCAAGCCACCTCTGCGCGTCACGCAGTGGTTGGTGTTGTTGGATCAAGGTTCCGTTTGATTTTCCTCCGTTTCACGTTCAGAAAGTAAAATTTCACTTTTAGAAAGTTGAAAGTTGTTTGGGTAGAATATTTGACAAAAAAACACATCCTGAAAGTACATTCAAACAGTAGCTGAAAGTGAATTTCTGAAACGTAACTATTTGAAGCTTTTGAAAAGTGGATTTAAAAAGTAGGATGTTATTTAACCATACTACCCTAAGTTTAATCTCTTATTTTTTATTTAAAAAATAATTAATTCATTAAAAATATAATTATCATTTTAATAATAATAATTAGGTATCAATTTTTTTAGTATTATAAATTGAGTAATTAATTATGTTAATTTTTAGCATTAATGCATAATAAAAATTACAAATCTTTATTACATCTTTTAAAATTACAAATTAAAAAATATAAATAATTAGAGATCAAATTTTTAGCATTATAGATCAAAATTTATGTTATTTATAATCTTTATTATATTTTTTAAATATTTTGAATATATTACATTTGTATAATAAAAATTATAAATCATTATAAATCAATTTCCTTTTTGATAATTGCACATTCAAAAGCACATCTCACTATCACAAACCAAACAACTTTCAATGTATCAAACTGACTTTTAAAAAAATATATCCAAATACAAATTTCGTTACAACAACTGACTTTTATTAAACTGACTTTCACCAAATGAATTTTCACCAAATGAACTTTTGGCAAACTGAAAACCAAACGCACACTAAAAGAAAAGGGAGCTAGGGTTTTCACTAAATTTTATTTTTAAATTTAAATAAAAGTACCCTGCTCTTTAATTCCAAGGTGAGTGAAATAAATTCGTCCAGATCGAACTGCAGAACAGATTCCACTTGCTTGTTCATAAACCTCCGAAATACATCTGAGAACTAACAAGGTTACATTTGGTTATCAGAAAAAAAAAGAAATAAAATGAATTAAAAAAATTAACTCAATCACCATTTTCTCATAATAAACACAATAAAATTCATTAATATATATATATATTTATAAATATAAAAATTACTACATCGTTAAAATATTAAGAATTATGATTTACAATCTCATAAATTAAATAATCTCTCTTCTTTATAAATATGTTCGCCTATCTTTTTTATCTTCTTATTTTTTTAGTTTTATTTTTTAAATCTATTTCATTTCATTTTTTTTTAATAACCAAAGACCTAAATATTATTGATTACATTTATAATTTATTATCAGAAATTTAAAAATACATATATTCCCAATCCCAAAGTGGAGAGAATAATTAAAAAAACACTGACCAAAAGGCCAATGCGCGACTGAGGAAGCTTCTCGGTAATTCCAAAAGCCACACACAACTCTATTGAGAGTGGCCAGAGCGTCGCTTTCGCTTAGCTCAGCTTCTCTTCTCTTACGCGTTTTCTTGGGACGAAAAGAGGAATCAGACAGGTCCTGCTAGTGGAGGCATGTGATTGGTCGGATTTCTATCATCACGCACACAATATTCCAAAATTTTCGTCCTAGCCCTTGAAATTTAAGTAGAACAGCACTTCCGCAAATTGTTCCAACCAAGCTTTCCAGCCGCCTTCTTTTTATATTTGTTGTGCGTTTTATTTCTGACATGTTACTTAATAGTAGTAACATCTTCATAGATTTCCGAACGCCTTCCGCAATTGGTAACGACACAAATAAAAAACAACTATCAATAGTCAGCTTTTTAGTAAAAGAGTGAACGATAGGTGCAGGTCATGGTATTTCAGACTTTTGATAAAAACAGACTTCGCTACTGCTAGGCCAAGCTGGTAAATTTCTTGGCGAAGTTAATTGCAATATCAAAAGTAGGCTATGGACAGATTACAAACATTTACAAGGAACAAGGCTACACAGTTCCTTCACAGCTTCATTTTTCATTAAGCCAATCCAGGTCATAAGACTGTTCTGATACTTGAATGCAAACGTCTGGCCTAGCCTTCTCCACATCTCTCCACATCCCTGACACCTCGTCATCACAAATCACAAGGCGCAGTGACTTCAATGACGTTGCAGACTTTGGTAAAACCCTAATCGAAGAGCACTCCCTCATGTCCATCTTCTCCAAATTTACTAGTTTTCCTATCTCCACTGGAATCCGTCCGAGATTAACACATTGAGATATGTCTATGTACTTGAGTCTTATCAGCTGGCCGATACTCGGAGGAAGCGTTTCCAGAGCTGGACAAGCATATAATCGCAGGATCTCTAGAGATCGCAGCTTTCCCAGTTCATCAGGAAGTTTGACTAGATTGTGGCAGTTGGTGAGGCTTAGATTCTGAAGTGATTCCATCTTGCAAATACTTGGGGGAAGCTCAGTTAAGTTATCACAGTGATCAAGTGTGAGCTCTGAGAGGTTCGGGAAGACCTTAGACAAATCTGTCATTCCCCCATCCACGTTGTCATTTATCTTGCAGAGGACTACAAATAATTTGCGCAAGCTTACTAGGGGAAAATCTGAAAACTGAGGGATTGAAACTTTTTCAAGCCAGAGGCTCCTCAAAGGAGCCAGATTCTCAAAAACACGAAAATTGTGAATGGAAGCATATGATGCACTGTAATTTATCAATATCAATGCCCTCAAATTTGGCATTCTATCGATGAAGGGCGGCAAGAAGAATTCACTGGAGGAGAAGTTGATGATCAGCACTTCGGCCTTGGGAAATTCCATTCTAAACCAATCCGCTTCTTTCATTTCACCTGCAAAAAGTGAGATCCATAGCGAATACAATCATACAAGTTTTTTCTTAATCTTTCCCTTTTTGGGAGAGGGATTGATAGGTACATGGAGAAATAGATACCAGTGTGAATGGAAACAATCTGAGCCTCAAATGGTCGATCTTTATATCTGGACCATTCTTTAGGGACTCCGTTCACCCTTTTTGGCATGACTAACCGCCTGCGCTCATTAATGCTCTCGCGACTGCTCAAATTAAGAGCTACGTCTCTCAATACATCGTGTTGAGTGACATAGATTTCAAAACAACTGCTATACATACCTCCGGAACTGATACATTGAAATATCAAAACATGTTAGAATAATGCAGATCATGAAACCAACAGAATAAAAATGGTTTTCACTTATTTACCGTGCCTCTTGCACCAAGGTGAGAAGATTCTTGTTTGAGAGCTCAACGACTATAGCAAAAGCTTCGGTTTCATCAATATCATGAATTTCAACCCACATATTGACGAGTACTTCGAGAGGAATCTTCTTGTCTTCTGGAAAAGAACACAGATCCAGGAAGCAATCCTTGATTTTCACGGGTAGGTAATTGATGCTGATTGCCATTCTTTCAATTAGATTGATTTCATATGATTCGCCTATGCTCTGGCCTTGGGATAGCCTGTTTTTGACACCTGCCCAAAACATCTCAGACTGATCCCGCAAGGAAGCTCCAATGACTTTAAGGGCTAATGGAAGTCTTCCACACTCGGTCACTACCTGGATGCAAAAACTGAACATATATAAGCAACAAAATATTTTAGGTTTAGGAAGACCACTCAATGTAAAGAGATAGAGTTCACCAATACCTGCTTGACCAAATTCCCATTTGCAGCTAAAGGGATTGACTTCTGTCCAAAGGCATGGTGACAGAACAGAGATAGGGCATCCTCTTCGCTCAACAGCTCAACTTCGTAGCTTGCAGAAAAAAATGTGGGAAAGTTGAATCTTGAGACCACCAGGAATTTACAACCAGGTATTCTCCAGACAAGCTGTTCTAGAACAGAGAGCGACCACACATCATCCAGAACTATCAGGATTCGCGTTTCAGTTCTGCATTCAAATTGCGGCTTCCGCTGTGGAGTCACATGATTAGGATTCAAATGTTCATTGCCCATAATAAATCCCCATATTTTGGCTCTCAGCAGCTCCACGTTTGGAGACTGTGACACTGTCAGGAACAAGATTCTCTGGAAATAACCTGGCCAAAAAAACGACGAAGAGCAATAAGTCAATGATCTATCATTTCAAGAGCACTTCCATAGCAGATCATTTCAAGAGCAATAAGTCAATGATGGTTTAGATCTATCATAAATTTCATAACAAGAACAAACGACGAAGAGCTACCGTCAATATCAAAACCATAATATATTACACCACCCTCAGACCTCGCACAGTAAACATGATCAACTCCCACCTTGTGTCCTCGTTAAAAGAAAATAAGATAAATTCAAGGCCAAAACAAGTTGTTATCCTGTGCTCCATGATGGTGAAGAGTGCGGTAGTAACTTCGATGACACGGAGATTTAACAAATAACGTTACACAGAATTGCTACGTGAGGAGGGTAAATAAACTAAAGGGTCCGAGGACTTTAGAAGGAACGGGTGCTTACATCGAACATGATCATCTCTGTAGATCTCTCTAGCAAGAGTGGTCTTGCCCGATCCTCCGATGCCTCGAATCCCAACAACGGGCAAATCCTGTCTCCCAACAACCAATTCCTTAACTTTCTTCTTCCCCAAATCCAAACCAATTCTAAAGCTCCCAGAATTACCGTCCACTCTCTCATCCTCTTCCATACTTCTGACGGCCTGCTCCACCCACCCTCCACCCCCAACTCCAATCTTGATGGCTCCGAAGTACTGCTCGAGGCGGCGGTTGGAGGCCTCCAACCTATCAAAGCGCTCGGCCATCTCGAAGCGGGTGTGGTGGACATCGGCCAAGATATGAGCCTGCATGGGACCTTTAAGGAACCTGGAGACGTTCTTCTCGAGCTTCTCCATCTTCTTGGCGAGCTGCAAGTTCTTGTAGACGTTCCAGCGGCTGGAGGAGAGAACCTTGTGGGAGAGCTCGACGCCAGAACGGAGCATCTCGGAGATGCGATCGAGCTGGGATTGGCGGACGGCGGAGAGCTCGACGCCGGAGTATTTGATTTCTTCAATGATGGGGAGGAGTTGGTTGATGTAGTTGTGGAGCTGGTCCGCACTTGATTTGCACAAAAGTGACTTGCGAGAAATGTCTACGAGCAGTTTCATAAGTTCCGTGGCTATTTCGCCCGCGAAGAAGTCCGTCACCGCCATTCTCTTCCAATGGCCCCGCGGCTTCTTCGGCCTCCGCTTCCACCCTCCTCTCCTCTTTCCTTTTACATATAAATCATATCGCTGTCGATCTCATTTTAATCGAATACAATCTTTCGTGCTTTGCTCCCTACGTCAGCACTTTACTACTGTTTTACTTCATTCTTTCTAATGACTAAAATGCCCTTGCGATTTTTTTTTGGGGGTATGCTCCCTTATAATTACTTTTGTTATGTTATTTTGTTTGTATTTAGTTTTCCGTTGTCCAAAAGTTAATTTAACAAAAATTTATTTAAAAAAATTAATTTAATAAAATTTAATTATTGTAATAAAATTTATATTTAAATATGCAATGACCTTCATCATTATATCGTATTAAACTCCTCAATTATAACTCTTAATTGAAGAGCCAATCATAATTTATGTAATCATTAATAAATTGACAGGATTTGGAATCCCAATCTGGGTGTCATGTGAAAGAAATTCAGAGATTAAGTCAATGGAAATGACGATAAAAGATGGCCGCGTCCTAAAAAAAAAGCCCAAGGGTAAAATAGATATTTTGAGTTTCACTATGCTAGTTCGCCACGGCCTACAGCATTGCACATTGTGGCTAACCCTTTTGAACACATTTACCTTGGCCAACAGCGTTCACGGCGGACTCTACGCAAACAACGTAATTTAAACAAAATTTCCCTGATTAAATTATAAACCCCGTAACTTTTTACCCAGATCCTCCATCAGTGTGAAACAAAAACACACATGCTCATAAGTAAGTATTCTAACTATAGGATTCGATTTCAAGCCATTCAAATGCAAAATAAGGATTTTAAGACGCTATGTGCTAAGTTGAGCCTGTAGGCCTCTTGCACCATATAAGTGCCTGCCCTCTTTACAATGGCATGGACAGTTACGACAGATGGGCATGCATCATGATTGAATAACTTCATTCATTTTCCAAGTGAAACTTTAGCTAACAAATCACCATAACACGTGGTATATCAAGCCAATTAGTCAAGCACATGGCCATTCCAAATTATGCATCAAGTTAAATAGTATGCAAATAAGCAGGTATCTAAAATTTCATAACAAATCCTAAAGTTGGCAAGGTAACAATAACTTTCATCACACACACTATGCAACTAGAAATTATGAGTAATGGCCCTAACGCTTTGCTCTTGAGGCTTTTCCTTGCCCTTACCCTTATCATCCCTTCAAAAACATTAAGTAATGGGAGTAAAATTATAAAATCTTAGTAACTAAGACACTTAAAAAAAGTATATCAAGGTGTGACAATTAAATAATTCTTCCGTTCAAAAATAAAATATATTTCTAACTAAATTTCATCCTTAATAAAGTAGCTATTTACTTTTTAATTAATTTTATTTTTTTATATTTACTCCTATTAAACACCTTACAATAAATATAAAGTCATTATCAATAAGGACATTTTTAGAAAAAAAGCAATAATTATATCTTAAAAAATTAAAAATGCCTTGTATTTTTTGACATTCAATTCTTTAAAAAATACCTTACATTTTTTAGCGGAGAAAGTGTAAAACAATCAAAAAGCATAAACAACCATATCATCTCAGACCATGATTTGCACAAGTGAACATGCTTAAGATTTATACAACCATTTTATATCTATCTTTATATTATCTAATCGAACCCATGGCTATTAAATCATATAGACTTAGTTCAAATAATTGAAACTAGTTTCACTCTTTAATTGTAAGGAGTTATCCAACCAGGACTTTTACTCTTACTCTCACTTTTGGACCAATAAATTCCCCTTACTTAAATTTTAAGATGTTATAAATATAGTTAAGAATAAGAGTTGAGCTGGCACTTGATAATGTTTTACTATTTATCATCTTGAAGTTGTTACAATCAACATATTAGTATATATATTTCGTCTAAACCTTGTTCCGTCCAAGTCTCCTGAACTTGGAAGTGTAATTAAAGAAAAATCACACACAAGAATGAAGAATCTTTAAATCGGGAGCGTTAATATTGGAGGTTTTTTCAATATCACCCGTAATTTCAAGAAAAATCAATTAGTATTTGTTAATCAACTTTACGATGAGATTCTTCATTGTAAATTTTATACCTTTAGAAGTTTTTTATTTAATTTTTCCTAATATTATGTCGTTAACTCTGTTGTATCAACATGGTTATGTTGAAACTAATGATTGCAATTAGAAAGTCGTATGACAAAACATCGCTGTGGCAGATAAGTCAGTCATTAATGGGATTGGGGTTTTCACCAAACTGAGGGAGCACGTCAAATTTCCAAAAGGTGAAACTCCATTCTGGCCATGAAAAAATGCATATTGAAAAGGACTCTGGAGCTCCACGGAACACGTGGAAACGGGTGTGGTGGCAGAGCCTATAACCAACTGTGTAAGTCATGGTATTCAAACCGATTCAAATTAAAACAATCGGCCCAAACCAATCTAAATTTTTTTTTGACTAAAATCAAATAACAATCAGGCATGCCTCGATTATTATAATATAAAAATCTGGTTCAATTTAAGTTTTAATTTTAAGTACTACAAACAGAACCAACTCAAGCCAAATTTAATTAAAAAATATTATTTATTTATTTATAAAAGATATAATCATTTATCTATAAAAAATATTTTATTTTAAATTTTTTATAGTAATAGATAAATATTTTTAAAAGATTTGAATAAAAATATATAATAGTAAATAATTATAATAATCATGCTATAATCATCATTTACTTATTTATAACTTAAAAGCCTCACGTATTCAATTTATCTATAAAAAGTATTTTATTTTAAATTTTACATAATAAATTTTTCATTATTTATTAAAATAAAGATATATAGATAAATATTTTAAAGGACTTAAATAAAAATGCATGATATTAAATAATTTTAATTTTAAAAATTTATATTAATTTTTATGATTAATTATTATTATCACATTAAAATTTTATTATATTTTTATATCTTTTTTTTATAAAAAAAGGGTGAAAAATAATTAAATTTAATTTTAATACATGACATTTTTATGAAGATTAAAAAAATTAAGTAAATACATTGAAGTCTGATCTAAATTTTAACTAAATTAAAAATAAAATTAAATTAAACTAAATTTTATAAAAATTGATTAGATTTTAATTATAAATAAATTAAATAGTTGGATTCGATTCGATTTTTATTCAACATCAAACCAAACAAAAGTGAGCCTAACATGTCTAACTTTAAGTACTGCATTAGAGAGGCCAGTCAATGCTTATCTACGTTGACTCGTGGAATGACTAGTTTGCCCCGCCAACCATGGAGAGGAAGGATGAGTGACCAAGATGATGGGGGTCCCAGTTTTTGATTAGTGCTTGTAGCAGAGACGTGGGGTCAAAAAGCAGGTGGATGCCATCCCCATACACTCCGCTTGACCTGAGAGGCTGAGGGAGACAGGTCTGCGCATCTTACTCATCTAGTTTTTTTTTTTTCTCTCTCCTGCAAATCATTTTTCATCCATGTGAATGCCAAAAAAAATATAAAAAATAAAAGTATATAAAATTTTAAATATATCTCTATATAATAAATTTAAAAATAATATCATATTATTATTTTTATAAAATATAATTTTAAAAATATATTTTAAATATTATTTAAAAGGTTAATCAAGGCTTATAAATAAAATTAAATAAAATTTGTAAAAATGTGTTTTATAAACGAGATTAGATGGGATCAGAGGGAGCGATTAGGAATCACAAGCAAAGCTGAAAACGTCACTCATCATTGGAAGGGACAAAGCCTGAGAGACACTGTTTTTGCTTCGTTAAGCTTCAGCTGGCACGTGACTACATATTACCCTCCCCATCATTTAAGGCGGCCGTCGTTTTTCCCGCTCGTCATCTTCCACATGCCTTGCTTGCAAATTCAGATCAAGGCCCCAACAAAACATATTGGTTTAATATTGACATTCATGACTTTGCTAAATACCACGGCACCGCAGCCATTGCAGTGTCACGTGCGATAGTAAAGGGAATTAGATAAATGACTTCTCTAAATTTTTTTGGTTAACATCGAAGCTAGGTTTTTGGATATTTTTAAAGGCCTTACCCTTTTGTGAGCTCGTTAAAGTTCATAAAATCAACCTAGTTCTCTTGAAATTTTTTTGCTCATCAACAAAGCATATTCCTTGAATTATTTCCTAGACGGCATAATAAAAAAAATTCAAAGATCTTATTATGCAAAAGTTATCTTGAATCCTGCTTTTGAATATGCTAATAAATATAGGGATTGACTAGCTCATCAAGTATCCCACAATATCATTATTTTGAACTCCCCGCCCCCCAGCCCCAATTGAACTTTGCAAAATTTTTATATGATTTTGTTTTTGGTTATCTTTTCACACGAATTCCCGTGACCCTCAATTAAAAAAATAAAATATAATCACATACCAAGTAGTAAACTTCTCAAACCCCCGCATGTACTCAACATCTCATTCTAACCCGTGCGAGTTTGGTTAGAGTGACTTGAACATAAAATTTTAGTCATAATAGTTTTGGGCTCCACCTCTAGTTTTGGTCATAATAGTTATGGGCCCCTCAATTGAACTTTCCACCTCAAGATTTTTTTTTTTTGGTTATCTTTTCACACGAATTCCCGTGACCCTCAATTTTGAAAAAAAATATAATCACACATACCAAGTAGTAAACTTCTCAAGCCCCCGCATGCACTCAACGTCTCATTCTAACCCGTGCGAGTTTGGTTAGAGTGACTTGAACATATAATTTTAGTCATAATAGTTTTTGGGCTCCACCTCTAGTTTTGGTCATAATAGTTATGGGCCCAGTGTTCGTCGTCCTAAGCCCGTCGGGTACAAAATTCATGGGCCTGAACAATAACTACTTTGAGCTGTCGCCAGTTACTGTACCATCACATTTCTTTATTGTTTGTTTGGTTGGTCTCCTCCAAAACCTCCCCGAAATTGGGGGATGTCTCTCTCCTCCCTTCCAACCAAATATCGTTAGGGTCACTAATAATTATTTTTGGGTAATATAATTTATTTTTTAAAATAAAGGATTTAATAACTAAAAGATTTTAGTAAAATAAATTAATATTATTTTTGGTTCTTTATTTTTTATAAACAGTCACACGTTTTCTCAATGAAAATGGGAGTCAGCTTTCCTTCATGGAAGGGAGTCTCCTTTGTCTTTTCACTGAGGCAACATAAATCTGAATCTTTCAGGTTTAATTTAGACATTCTAAATCTAATATTTTTAATTTTTATTTTTAAAATAAAAATATATAAAAGTTGTAAAATTTTTTAATAAATATACTTATTAATCTAACAATTTAAATTTAATATGAATGGTCCAAATTTAATATTAAAATTTTAAATTGACTTTTTAAATAGATTTTGAATGGTGCAGATATATTTTAAATAGAATAATAAACTTATTAAAAAATTTTAATATTAAATTTGAATTATTTATATTAAATATGGACTGTCAAATTGATAAGTATATTTATTATTTTTTTTTACAATTTTTACATATTTTTATGTTTAAAAAAATAAAAATAAAAATATAAAATTTAGATCGTTCAGATTTCAGATTATTTTCAGCTTTGGTGAAAAGGGGTGTATTCTTATTTATTGAATTATGGAATGATCAATACAACACAGATTTCGGCCTTTTTTTTTTGGTTTTTTTTGTTTTTTGGGGGGGGGGGGAGATGCGGATGTTGCCGCTTAGCAGCTTGACAGAATGGGGAATTTTTTTATATTTCTTTTTTTAGTACAACGAGAAGGTTCCGTGCAGGACTATCCCCTCCGAGCTATTGACTTTTTGAGAAAATTTTTCCAACCCATAAATCTACCCACAAGAAGTTTCAGCAAGCTGCCCATTTCTTAGACGCAGACAAAAGGCAGAGCCTGGCCAGTAGAGTTGGTAAACATGCAGGCTTAACTCATATGGGTTCAGTTTTTATAAGCTCGATCTTTGTAAACCTAAGTTCTAAAGTCCGGTTATCTCAATTTTATCTTTAAAATTAAAGCCCGATCCTTATTCATAAGGCTCAGGGCCGGACCCGTAAACCCGAATAAGAATAAAATAAAATAAAATTCAACATTAAAATTTATTTAGAATATTTTAAAATTTAATATATATCAAACTAAAGTCTCACATAATCTAAAAAATAAACAAAAAATTTAAAAGTCCAAATAAGATGAAGGCAAACATCATCATCAATTCTAATCAAGATCTTCCTCATTATCATCCATAAATAAAATATTAAAATCCTCAGATATAGGTCCACTTGTGAAAGATGTAGGCGAAGGCTCAATATTAATTATTTCTGAAACTTCTTCATCATCACCTACAATAATTATTAATTAAATTGTTTTATTATCAAATATATATCTATACATATATCACAAGATAAAATATAAAAATTACTATATAAAATGATACAAAACAATTCAACCAATTGCTGGTACAAAATACAAATCAATGTTTGCACATTATCTGGAAAGAGGTGAAAACAATACTTTGTGATTAGTAAAACGGGTTTCAAGGGCCGTCCGAACTTGAGCCCATTTTTCTAGGGCTTAAAAGGGCCGGGCTTCAAAGCCCGGTTACCCTAAAAAATGTCAAATTTTTAAACACAAACTCTTATTAAAACGGGCAGCCCGCCCAACCTTTATTCCCGACTCTACTGGCCAGCAACGGAAAGAGTCCTCGAGTTCAACGTCTGGGAGTCTAGATTGGTAAACGATGAACACATTCAGAGCAGCATGCTCGGACGGAGATGGCTATGGAGTATTAACAACACGAGGCCCTTCAGTCTCAACGATCAATGTGATACTAACTTACTGTTGAGGGCTGTTTTTGTTTGTTGCCAACTTCTTCCTCACCGCAGCAGCAGCAGGGTCAGTCTGCCAATGATCTAGTTTGTCAACCTTGTGACGCATTCCCTCTCTATCCTTCGTTGTAATGATCACTTGATTACAACTAATTCAGGCAAGTGTCTCGGTTTTACGGTGGTGGTGGCCCCGTTTCCTTCCTCCTCCCTGCGTGGGTCACGTATTATTATATTGACAAAATGTGAAACGGCGGGTCGTGTTTCTGACTCTAACTCGTCCAAGGAAACTCCATCTTTGATTAGATAAGGTGCGGAGTTAGGCTTGAGATGGGAAGACTCGGCTCCTCAAGCCAAGCACCTCAAACTCAAAGTCATTACTGTTGACCATAAATTATTCAATTATTCAAGACACAGCCACGTTGAATTGGAAATTATAGTCAGATACCAGAAGGCCGAGAAATAGCAGAGGTGTTTCGTGTTGCTTCCTTTCTAGTCCTGCTTCTCCCTCCCGGCTCCCATGGCCTCGACTTGGCAAATTCTTGCTTTTGCTCCCACTCTTCCATGACGACTCCCACCACTCATCCCGTTTCCCAACCCCCTCAGATGCCTTTGTCTCGCAAATCATCATCTTCTCCCTCTCCCATCCCATCCACACCTTCATCTATTTATCCTTTTCCCCTCAAACAAACTGACATCGATGCCGCTGGCAATGCCGCTAATTTCGTTCACAGCACGGAGCAACCACCTCCCCACCGCCGCCGCCTTACTCGAGTCCGGAAGCTTCGCCACCTCACTGACCATGATGTTGGCTTGCACCTCACTGACGATTCTTCGCTCCTGGCTTCGCCTCCGCCCTCTCTCAAGTCTCGCTCATCGGGTGGTTCCGAGCACTGGTCCTCCTCCGCTGTGCCTCAACCTCTCCCGCTTCCCGAATCACCGTTGACTCGCCGGCCGGAGTCAACCGGTCCCAATCCCGGCCAGTTCCAGCTCGGATCTCCTTGCGTAGACCGTTCGGGCTTTGCTTTCGGGAGGTAACAATCATTCATGGTCGTTATTTTGTATTGAAATGAACGCTAGACTTATAGAGGTCACCTAGATGATCATCTGATTCTGTCTTCAATAGCTCGAGTGAGTTATACGGGAAGAAGATGAAATTTGGGTGCGAACTAAGAAGTAGACATGGATACCTGAAGCTTAAAAGGAAAGGAAGTGGCTTTATTTGGTCACTCTGATTAAATTTCCGAGCCACTTATTGAATGAAACTGAATTTTTCACCGTTTACTTAGCTTGGTTTTAATTTAGGCGAAGACAATATCGTTGTGTATTTCCCACACAATGTTTTACTGCTTGTTACGCCATGGATGGAATTAACAAAGTTCAGCATCCATTAATGCTTTAATTTCAACATGTTGATTCTTTGCGGTGCCTTTTCTTTCATTTCAAAATCATCAGGAAGACGATGGATCACGATACATTGATAAATATGAAATCTTGGAGCAATATGGATAGATCTTGTGATCCAACCACTGCAAGCACAAAGTTTAATTTGAGAGTAAACATCCCAGTTGCAAGTTTCTTGATAGGTACCTTCTCCATTCTCCTTGCATCTCAAAATGTTGAATATGGAAGACCCTTTTCCTTCTTACGTTGCTGCTAATGCAGGTCACAGTTCATGTAAAGATCGAGCAATCTCTCGTGATACTGACTCTGAAAGTATTTATGACTCAAGATTGCGCGTGGCCACAAAGAGTGCCCCAACAAGTGTTTTTTCCAGTCCTGTTACCAGTCCTCGGAGATCAAGCAATGTAGATTTCACTGATCATTTCATTACTGCTCAAGAATTTCATGACAACCCAGTTGGCCATCCTTCGAAGGTGTCACCACCCTTGACTGTTCAAAGTCCAGATCATTCTTCTCTCCGTAGCCCAGGGTGCCGTAGTCCTTTCCTCAATCTCAAAATCCTAGATGGACCTCAGCATAGATTTCATTCCAGGGCGTGGCCAGAAAATAACCATGTTGACGCACATCCTTTGCCTCTTCCTCTTCCTCCTGGAGCTTCACCACCAGCACAATCATCTGTGCAGCGTCAATCAAGTGCCAAGCTTCATTCATTTGAAAGTCAATTTTCAGTGAAAGGTCAATGGCAGAAAGGAAAACTTATTGGACGGGGCACTTTTGGAAGTGTTTATCATGCGACAAACCTGTATGCAATTTGTTCAATTATTACGTTTGCTAGTGTCTGCTAATTGGCTCTCATTTGCTTTAGATTAAACTTTTGTTTTTTTACTGTGTTTTTTCATTCACCTAATAGAGAGACCGGTGCTTCATGTGCAATGAAGGAGGTGGATCTCATTCTAGATGACCCTAACTCTTCCAACTGTATAAAGCAACTAGAGCAGGTTATTCTGAGTCTTTTAATTTATTTTGTACAGAAACATGACTTCTTTTATTGGAGAAAATAATGTTGATCCAACTTTTTTTTTGGGGCTGCCAGTTGACATTTATTGGAAATCAACAATTATGGTGAAGATCTACTATTCTCAGAGCTTGAGTGTTACTAAAACTCAAAAAGGCCTAGACTCTGTTATAACATCTCTAACACTCCTCCTTAGACGAAACACAGACTGATATTAGTTTGTTTGGGTTGAGATTTAATTTAACTAGAATTGGTAAGGGTGGGGAGAATTGGGCTCTTGACTGTTTGGACATAGTGATTAATAACTATAGCAAATTAGCACTTCAGGTTAACTGCTTATGTGATTACATGCATCAACTAATATCATAGTTGTCCATTATCACTTGTACATAGTTTTATATGTCAGTATGAGCTACTACATTTTATCATTTGCATCAGTTCTTTTTCATCTTCCATCTTGTCGTAGATCCTTCTGTTTTAATACACTGTAGTTATCCTAGTTCTTATCAATACTATGAAAGATCAAATTTTTTCTGTTTGGTTAAAGAAAGGAAGAACTCATCAAGTAGAAGCCAGATTGCCAAATATTTAGCAAGTAATATGCTGTAGTCTCTTCAATCTCACTTTTTCAAAGCGTGTTCACATACACAAAACAGGTTCACAAGATGAGCCCTGGTACTTATATTTATTTTTTTGACTACTATAGAAACATTATTGCAACCAATTGAACTTTCAGTACGAGTTGAACATAAACGCAGTTTTTATTAGACTTAGCGCAGAATTTGTTTTCTAATTAATATAGGAGCTAAATAATTGCAATCAATTGCACTTTTGATAGACTTTATATAGAAGTTTGAATTCTTTTAGATTACGTTTGGATTGATGAATTTGGATTTAGATTTTAGATTTAAAATTTCACATTTAAAGTTCATATATTTAAAATTATTTGTTTGGATAGTATAAAAAATTTCAAATTCAAAGATAATGAAAAGAGGGAGATGGGAAATGAAAATGGGAAGAGAATGAAAGGGTTAGTGTGACTGCCATTTTAAATAACTAGGGTGTAGTAGGGATTTAAAATTACAAAGAAATTATAATAAGATGTAAATTTTTACGGATATGACAGAGCTGAAGATTTAGAAAAGATTTACAAATCATTTCCTCGGGTACCCAAAGGTTTCTGGCTGTAGAGGAAAAAGTGACATAGGAGAAGGGATTAGGTGCAGCTAAGGTTAGGGGCATTGATTTTGTAACTTTTTGGGTTTTAAATTCTCCGATTTAGCTGAGAGAGGGGAGTTCAATCTTTTGGTGACTAAAGTTTGTTTGGGAGAGTATTGGCCTCTCGAAATTCTAGTGTACTAGGGTGGAGGAAGATCATCATGTGTGTTAGTGAGTGGCTTATGTTCTAGGTTGTTGTTATGTGGTGTGTATTTTGGACTGATCCTTGTACCCTGTAACTTTATTCAGTTTCGTGTATGGGTGTATGAGGGAGATGGGGTTAGCTTGAATTATTATTTCCTTTTAATCCAACTTAAATATTCGGCAATAGTATTTTCAGTCCCATTTGAAGTTTATTTTCTGGTTTTTGCTTGTTTTAAGCTTATTAGAATAGAGGGTTCTGTTAGGATCCAAATGGTGGATTTGGCCTAAATACAAATTTAAATCCCCCTACATCCAAACACAACATTATTTTTTTCTCATCCGTGCTGTAATATCTTTAACATTTGCCTATAGGAAGGTATTTAGGCTGTTGTTTTATTTCTCATTGTCTCAGGAAATCAAGATTCTTCGTCAACTACAGCATCCAAATATTGTGCAGTATTATGGCAGTGAAACAGTGAGTTGTTAATTGACTATTTTTTCACATATACTGGGTATAGCCTAATTAAAAGCTTAAGGGCCTTTGCGATTGGAATTAGAAGTAATTCTTTTAGACTTCTTTGTTTATAGGTTGGTGATCACTTGTGCATATACATGGAGTATGTTCATCCAGGGTCTGTTGATAAATTTGTGCGGGCAAATGGTGAAGCGATGACAGAGTCTGTAGTTCGCAATTTTACATGGCATATTCTCTCAGGGTTGGCTTACTTGCACAGCACCAAAACTATCCACAGGTGATTGTGATGCTTGATGGAAGGAATTAGCACGACTGATTTAAGCTCTTTGAATGGTTATCAATCTGTTCCTGAGATCTATTATTTGATATGAGGAGCATGCTAATTCTGGGGGAGAAGTAAAAATGTTACTCTTAAAAATGTATCATGCAAAACTTGTTCTCTTGTTTAGTATAGCCAGTTTTCTGGAAAAGGGCATTCTTCTGTTTGGATTTCTCAACAATAAACTGTATTTGGCATTGCTGTATTTTGCTGATGTTTGGTAGAATGGATGGTTTTTCTCCTCAGGGATATCAAAGGAGCAAACTTACTTGTTGATGCATCAGGCACTGTCAAGCTTGCTGATTTTGGAATGGCGAAAGTTGTGAGTGTTCTAGACTGGCTAGTTCTAAACTCATTTTAACTCTGTGCACACTCACACACCTGCAATTTTTCTTTATTAGCTGTTTATATTAGATTCTTTTTTATTGACGGCAGCATCCTCTTTCTTTCTTTTCTTTTCTTTTGTTTTGTTTTGTTTTTTTTTGGTGTCTTTCCCGTAGTCTCTATATCTTAATAATTTGCTCTTTCCAGCTAACAGGGAAATCATATGACCTTTCTTTAAAGGGCAGTCCATACTGGATGGCTCCTGAGGTATTTCATTGCTTGTATCATCTAGATTTTGTTTGTGATGGCTGAGGCATGTCCTTACTTACTCTGATTTGTGCATCAAAGGTCATGAAGGCTGCCATGATGAAAGATGACAATCCTGACCTTGCCTATGCTGTTGATATCTGGAGCTTAGGTTGCACTATCATAGAGATGCTGACAGGAAGACCTCCATGGAGTGACTTTGAAGGGGTGAGTACCTTAGCACCTTATTCATCTTTTCATTTCACCTGTAATAAAGCCAAATGGTTGTTGTTTTGTAGGTTTACTAGAATATTGATAAATTTAATCATATCTGTAACTGTATGGAAGAGTTTGTAATATTTGTTTACGAGGAAGATATTTTGGTGACTTTTAATCTCAGCACTGCCCTTCCCTTGTCGGGCAAATATGTGAAGCAGATATCATATGTGAACCAGTCATCCTTTTGCACTCGTATTGGTATAGCTTCTCTGCCCCCCCCCCCCAAAAAAAAAAAGTATTGGTATAGCTTCAACTAATCATTCTTGTTGACTAAAGACTAAAGAGGGCAATATTCTTGTTATATATTTGAGGATAAAAGATCAAATTGGCCCCTAAAATATAGATCCAAGAGTGTTTGGGATCCTGAACTTATTATTAGTGCAATATTTCTTTTTAACTTTTAAAAATGGTACAATCTGACTTCTTTCATTAACAAAAGTTAATTTTGATTGTTAGTTGATCAACAAATGATAAAAAAGGATTTAAATTACAGAAAAAGACTACAAAAATTACAATTAAAGACTCAAAAATTACATTTTAAGGATCAAAAAAATTACAAAAAAGGAACAAGAAACTTTTATTGATAATTTTTTGTTATTTTTATTAATGATGGGATTCAAATTGTACTATTTTCAAAAGTTGAAAAGAAACATTGCACCAAAAATGAATTTAGGATTTTTGATGCTCCTAAACTTAGAGTTTAGGTGTCGATTTGTTTTTGTACCTTACATTTAATCTCTGCTTGCCTTAAGAATTAAGGCTACATTAAAGTTGACTAGAATCATAGCTCAAAAACAATGCCTGCTAAGCAATAATGTTCTCTCTCTCAGTGATCTACGCCTTCTAGGTGAATTTAATTTATTCTATTGTCATAAAGGTAAACTGTAGCGTTGGGTGGTCTTTCTTTGTCTAAACCATTTAGTAGATTTGGCTGCCTCTTAGGACTAATGAGCAATTTGAATGCCCGTTTGATATTCGGATTCTAGTAGTCTATTTACCTGTATCTTGTGTACTTGCTGATTTAATCTGTATTATGTACATCAGCCTCAAGCCATGTTCAAGGTACTGCACAATTCGCCATCAATACCAGAAACATTATCTTCAGCCGGAAAGGATTTTCTTCAGAGATGTTTTGAAAGGGATCCCGCAAATCGACCATCAGCAGCAAAGCTTCTTGAGCATGCCTTTGTACAAAATTTGCATGACCAAGAAGCTTTAGTTCGCCCACAATTATATCCCAGAGAAGACCCTGAAGTAAGTGCTAATTATATTCGCTCTACTTCATAGTGGACCATGTCCACGGATAAGGTTTATGGTGTTCATAATGAATTATATCCTGCTATATCCTGGGATGAACACAAAAAAGGAAGAAAAGATATGACGTGGGGTGCCCGCGGCTGAAGACATGACTGGCTGACATGTCGTCGAATTGTTTGTGCTCTGTAGGAAAATTCACGTAGTCCCAAAGACAGTACTGCACGTAACCGTGATGTAATTCGAGCCTCCATGAGCTCACGGATCATCAACAAAATCCAGAAATTTATCGGGTAATATTTCGTCTCTATTGTTAACATTGTACGTCAGATGTGATCATATGGTTCGAGGTGCTTGATTAGGGTTCATTCTCTTTTTGTTCTGATTTTGACAGTGATTCTTCCCAACAATATAATGCTGAGGATTCTAAATATTCTACATCTCATCACCCTCCTTACTCTCTGCCAGAAGGTAAAATTCCTCAGTCGTCCTTGAAACCAGCTGCCCTCAATTACGTTTCTGCTTCAAAATCCAGCAACATATCCCTCGCTGTAATGAGATTCATCACGCACTTTTGAAGCGGAGATTCTTCCTTGCTGATTCCAAGTGTCTTCGGAAGCTTATTTACCTCACTGGAGGCTGGGATTTACAACCTGCTCATTAATGGTCACAAATACATCAACCTCAACGGGCAATAGAAAGCGAAAACTTCTCGTTGACTGGTACCAATAAAAGATATTTTTGTACATAGCGAGTCTCCGTTAGTTATGCTAGCTCTGACTACGATCTGATGTGTAATTATTGATTGTTTTTAAGCTAAATTATTATTTTATTTCTTCTAGTTTCCTGCCAACTTAAGTTTAGTACTTGAACTTTTAGCTTGCGTCGGTTATTACGTGTATTTTTATACTATATGTAACTGCAATCTATTTAAACTTTGTATCAACTGCATTTAACACAAAGGTTATGATTCATTTCGGGTACACTCCGAACAGCACTTATAATGTACTCTTGTATTCTATCTTTCTGTCATTCTATTTTGATATACTAACATCTATGTGTAGTGTATATGTCTAACTAGTTGAGTTGAGAGATTTAATTTATTTTAAATAAGGCCAGATAATTGTATCAAATATATATATATATATATATATATATATACACGGGGCAATTTTACATCTAATCTAGAAACTTATCAACTTTACAATGGTCAAATATAATTAACAATTCAGTATCAAGTAAGTAATATTTTAAAAAATCGAAGTAAATATCATATTTTAATTACTAATTTTTTTTGGTTAGAATTAAAGTAATTTCAATTCTCAGGCTATTAAATAACTACTCTATAATAAGCAAAGATTTTGGACGGGCTTCGATTTCAAATGTAGTAATTTTTTTGCCAACAATAGTAATCAATTTTTTAGTGCAAAGAGTAGACCTTTACCATAAATATTATCTTTCCCGATTATCATATTCATTCGTATTTATTATAAAGTTCATCCCCTGGTATTGTTCATCTGCAGCGATTGAACATGTTCATATATAATATAAAGTTCATCCCATGGTACTGTCCATCTACAGTATATGAACAGTCATATATTTTTAAAAATTTGATTTTTGTATATTAAGAGTTTACATCGAACTCACAACAAAATTAAAAAAAAAAGGCCTGGGACTCATAATAAAAAAATACTTGTAAATATGAAACTTATAAAAAAAATAATATGTATGATATTCAATACTTTTTTTGTTAAAAAATATAAGATATTTTTAATCAAATTTTATCTCTCAATAAAATAATTATTTATTTTTCAACTAACCATATCTTTTCATATTTATCTCTATTAAACACCTTACAATAAATATTAAATCATTATCAATAGGAACACTTTTTAAAAAAAGCAATGATTACACCTTGAAAGACTAAAAATATTTTATATTTTTGAATATCCAACTCCTCAAAAAATGTCTTATACTTTTAGACAGAGGGAGTACTTTTTTTTGTAAATGTAAGAGATTCATCATTTGTTGCTTGTGTTTTGTATATGTATAAGGTAATTAATTGTATTTAACATGCAAATTTAAATAAAAAATTTTAAATTAGAATATTTTATTATTTAAATCAATAAACTTATTCATGTTCCTTTTATACATAAGAAAATTTTAATTAATTCAAAGATTTTAAAAAATTAGGTAATCTTAATAATTATGTCTAAAGTTGAAAGCTTGGATTAAAATGTACTTGTAATTAACATTTTTTCCCAATTTAATCCTATTTAATAAAGAGTAATTAAGAAAAGATATTATAAATACTTTTTGAAAATTATTCTGTTGATAAAAAATAACAACAAACCATATGAAAACTTTGCTTATATTTAAAAATGGAGAAAATTTATAGTAAAATTTATCAATGGATTACTACAGAACTACAATAATTTTGTGATATACATTATATTTGAATTTAATGACTAAAATAAATCCTATCATTTAATGAATGTCACGTGCGGTATAATAATAATTGTTCAATTTATTTGAACTATTGTAAGATATTTTGTCAAACAATATTATCTGCTTTATTATTGTAAATATGATTGTAAACAGAAAATATTGAACCTATAATAAAAATGGAAAACTTATAGTAAAATTAAAAATTTAATTTTCACAAATTATAACATTTTAGGTCCACATCCATTGAAAGTTAGGTCTACATGCCCAAGGTAGTACATTATAGAATAAAACAACTTTTTATAAAATAAATTGCTAATTTTTATGCATAAGATGTATTTTTAATTTGTTACCAGTACATTAAATTTTATACTAAATAAGTTGGTGTTCATATATTTAATATCCATGGGGTAATGAATTTTAGAATAAAGAACATTGTTTATGTTTAAAAGGATAATGAAATTTTAAATCCCTCAAATTTTCTTAATTATTGATTTATTTTCTAAAGTTTAATTTTTATGAATTTAATTCATTTCTTTTTTTTTAATTTTCACTTTAATCTTTTAGGTTTTGAAAAAATTAACCCTTAAATTAATTGGACGTATAAAATATGCTGATAATCTAACATATTATGTATGGCCAAATAAAAATAAATTTATCTTCAAGTCAATTTAATTTTGTCATTAATTTAAGTGACTGTCAATTCAATATTTTTCATAAATACTGGCAAATTTTAACAATATGTTACTTCTTCTTTTAATAATAAACTTAAAAGACTGAATTTAATTTTTCAATTCTAATAACAAAGTGTAAGGGTCATAAATTTTGTTTATAAAATGTCATTTGTGTTTTTGATATACATAAAAGGATAAGTTATAAAATAAAATAAACTGATGATGAAAAGGTGAAAAAAAATTGTAATAAAAAAATTGTGTGAATGTAAAAATTATCTTTAAAAATTTACTTTAAATTATGCTAAATAATAATTGAGTTTGATTTAGTTAGATAATCATATAAAAATTGTGTTGTTTAAATGTTTTGTGTGTACGAGGATAAAAAATCCTTAAATAAAATAAGTGGTTATTTATATTAAAAAGTATAACTTTTCAATTAGAATATGTTGTTTAAATTTTAATTTATGTCAAGATCACATATGCACGTGATATCATGTTTTAAAATAATTTATGTAAGAATAAAATAAATTATTACTCATTCAATTAAAAAATATAAAGCATTTTTAAAGAAGTTGGATGTTAAAAAATGTAAAATATTTTTAGTCTTTCGAAATATAATCATTATTTTTTTTAAATGTACTTTTTTATAATGACTTTATATTTATTATAAGGTGTTTAATAGAGTTAAATATAAAAATATAAGATTAGTTTGAAAGTAGGTAGCTACTTTATTGAGCAGTAAAATTTAATTAAAAACGCTTTATATTTTTTAACAGAGGGAGTATCTTTTTTTATTGGCAATAAGTATTCTCCTATTGTAAATAATTATATTTGAGGTACATTCAATAGGGACCTCATTTTTACCCTCCCATTGTTATATATAGTCAGTATTAAAAATAAAATAAGAAATTCATACAATTTAAAAAGGAAAAAATTCTAAAAAATAGTTTTATGTCTTAAAGTCTTAATATACATGGATAAAACAATTCATAGATTAAAATAAATTGTTATACATATCTGATTATCTATGGGACAACAAATTTTATGATAAAACAAGTTATTTTTTTATTTCTATTTTCTAATCACAAATATGTTGGGGAAATAAAAGTATACAGTAATTATTACTATTACAATTATTTATCCATAATCACATACAATTTTATTTCACACTTCCTATAAGCTATTTTTTTTTATAAAATTATCAAGTTAATATTAACTCATAATTTAACTTCTATTAATTTTATGATTTGTTTGGATAAAAAAAAATGGTTGGGAAGTGGGGTTTTAAATTGTAGTCACTTCAATTTTAAATAAATAGAGAATATTGGCTAGAAAGTTTTTTAATTGATTTTTTTTCTTTTACATATCTCAAATAAAATTTTATAACATATTTATTATTTTTTCTTCTAGTGAACTCATTAAAATATTATTTTTCCTTTTTTATTCACTTCAAACAAAAAATGAGAGTTAATATTTCTGTGCATCAAACAAGGTATAAAATTTAATTAAAGATAAAAGTTAGACTTCTTTCATCTTAGAGATGAAAAAAATAGTGAAGATAGACAGAATACTATTGTTTATCTAAAATTACCTGCAATTTCAAAACCTTCAACAGGGAAAATTTAAATAAAAATATTTTATTATTATCAAATCATATTCACAATTCTAGATTACAGTAACTTTTAAAATTATTCGCTATACTTAAAAAAATCATCTGCTAAAATATTTTTTAAAAATTTATAAATAGATAAAAAATTTCAGAAATATCAATGAAATTATTTTAAAAAAAATCCAAAACCATCCCCAAATTTAAGAATATGTATTAGAAAATTAAAGGAAGTAAGCTGGGCTTGGCCCATTATTACTCGATCCCTAACTTGTGGAGCGAATAGCCCAGAAACTGTCTCGGTTCAGTGAGTTTTGCCTCCATCATTAAAAATAAAAATTTGAAAGAAATTTGCGATCTTGCTGCGCCTCATTGTGTCTGTTCGCTCCTTTATTTTACCACCTGAAATTCCGGGGAAACAACTTCCTTTCATCGACAGAACTGTGTTCACTAATTCAAGTTCAGCAGATGGGGGCGGAGCCTCGGTTTCCTAGAAGCTTAATCAACAGGATCTACGCTCCGTTGGCTGATGACATTCATTTTGCGGCCCCTATCCCATCCTTGAGAACCAGTGAAGTTGAACTGGTTTGGTTCTTTCTTTCAATTTCCTCAGTTTTAGAGTTTGCCCGCGGTAGTTTCTTAATTGCCGTGATTTCATCGTTCTTGTGTTTCCAAGGCTCATTATATGTTTTTTTCCCCTGATACTTCATTGAATGTGTTATTTTTCGACATCTTATTTTTAAATCCATCACAGGTACAGGGGGTTTTGCGAATGTTACAAGGTTTTCCTGGCTCCCTGTTCTTTTGGGACCATGTTGGAAACAGTTTTCGTGTCAAAAGTGGAATATATCTGAGTCATCTGTCTCAGACAAGCCTTCACTCCCTCCTTAATCAATTTATGCATGCTGCAACATGTTTGCAATTGGTTGAGATCACAATCAACAAAGTTGAAGCTTCTGTCCCAAAACCTCCTCCCACTTTAAAGGCCTTTGTGTGCTCGGCTTCGGCCTGGCTTAAGGTTTGTTAACGAAACTAAAGGGATGCTCTTCAATAAGTTCTACCTTCTGTCTTTTTTAAAAACAATTTAGTTTGTGTCAAGCAGCGTTTGCGGAATATTGCCTTGAAGGAGGAAATAACGACGAACAATGCAAATGACACAACTATTCCAACCTTGTTAGGTTTGGCAAGTTCTTTATCGAGGTTTGTATTTGTTAAATTTTTACACTCTAAAATTAGGATTGTGTGTGTGTGTATGCTAGCTTATTCTCTGGGCCATTGTCTTCCTGGAATTTTAATGCACTGTCACCTAAGGTATTCGTCATGTTTTCTTGGTCACTGAAGCCATCCACTCTCCCTCCCCCTGGTGCCAAGCAACCTACTTGATGGTATCTGATGGCCATTTATTGATTTTAGTCTTTGCTCAGGTGCTGAGTACATGTTGCAAATAGTACACGGGACGATTCCCTCAGTGTATTTTGAGATTGCTGCATCCATACCAGCAGCAGAGTTGGCTGTTCATGTACTCGACTATCTTTACAAGAAGCTTGATGAAATTTGTCTACTGCAAGGTGGTGAGGTCGTGACTACTTGTCCAGCAGCACATTATATATTTATTGAAGTATTTCTCCAAGTTCATCCTGTCAAATAAAATTATGTTGATCTCAGGAGGAAGCTTATCATATGGTGCTATATATGCTTGTTGGAAGCTTATTGCCATATATTGAGGGCCTTGATTCCTGGCTTTTTGAAGGAACACTTGATGATCCTTCTAATGAGGTAATCATTTTTGAATGTCCTAATTTTTTATCCTGGAGGGGAAAGAAGTTTTACTCAGTTTTTTAATACTGAAAGCCATCACAAAAGCAAGTAACTAAGTCATGTAAGTTTAGATTTAAGCAACCAGTGTGTCCTTGAACTAATGTGGAAGTTCAATATATGTGGCCTTGGAATCACTTTTAGATGTAAGTAATCAGTAACGATGGAGCAATTTCTGGTTCTAGAGTTTTCTAGTGATGCATGCTGTTTAAATGGTGTGTTGATCCTTGGTCTCACTGTCTCTTTCCAGATGTTCTTTTTTGCCAACAAAGGTGTCTCAGTTGATGAGGCTGAGTTTTGGGAGAAGAGCTATTTACTGAGATTGTTGCAGCATAGCAAGCTAGACGTTGAGTACTCTACCATAAATTTTTCTAGTGATTCCATGCCAGTGCCAAATGACAGGAAGGAAATGGGAAGGAGGGATTCTGTTTCTTTGTCTGGTACAGTCAAAGGAAAAGAGCATAGCATCAGAAACCATCAAGCTTGCCCTTTTTTTTATGAAGGATTTAGTAAAGTCAATAGTTTCTGCTGGAAAATCATTGCAGCTGATGCAGCATGTTCCTATGAATTCCTTAGCAGTGTATGGTAAAGGAAATGATTGTGAGATTGGAAGTACCAGAGATTTACACAGTAATTTATGTGGTTCTTTACACAGTAATTTATGTGGTTCTCAGAGTATTTCTGGCCTAACCTTGTCCGAAGTGTTTTGTGTGTCACTGGCAGGACTTATTGGTGATGGTGACCATATCTGTAAGTACCTTTTACTGGATGACTGGCAGAAATATGGTTCTGTTTCTTCTTTTGCATTTTGTGCAAATGATCAAGATGCAAAAATTGACAGTAGTGAGAATTCACCTGTTTTGCCATGCTCAGAGAAAATTTGGTACAAGTTCTTGGTGGATACATTATTGCAGAAAAAGTCAGCTGTCTTGAATCTGAAACGTAAAAGCACATGTGATAATCACATAAAAGACCAAGGAGGAGTTAGAGATCTTGAGCATGAAATGATTCCCTTGAGATCATGCATAGAAAATCCAGTAATCACTCCATGTCGAATAATCCTTGGAAAGAATAGGGCTACCTGGAAAACATTGAACTTATCTCAAAATTTTGACTTGCCTGCCTTAAATGATGAGATTCTAAGAAAGGCTATATTTGATGGAGATGGTAAAGCATTTTCTGATAGTGAAGGAACAAACTATACTTTTGGTTTTCGGTTTGGTGAATCTGAATATCTTCGTTCACAGGATGAAAGAAAACTGTTGGAAATGCTGTTGCCATTTCCTACTCTTCTGCCTTCATTTCAGGTACTGCTATTTCCTAGTGAGTAGTTCCCTGACCTGCTTTATATGTGGGTTGTGTGGCAGAAACTGAACTTGTATGGTTTTTGAACAGGATGACCTTCCTGTATCAGAGCTCTTACCTTTCCAAAGAAACAGCACCCTTCCCTCTAGAGTTCTTCTTTGGATGCAAAATATTGACCTGCGAACTACTCCACTTCCTCTTGTTATTATGCAGCACTGTCTAACTGCCTACATTCAAAAGCAGGTGAGCTTAATTAAACTAGTTAACAAATCCAAAGTGACCTTACTGTGATAATGCTCTGCATAATAACTCATTCTGAACAAACAGGTGGATTATGTTGGAAGGAATATATTATTAAAGTTAATGGACGAATGGAGATTGATGGATGAGCTTGCAGTTCTGCGTGCTATTTACTTATTAGGTTCAGGTACTTGAAAGTTGATGTGAAACTGTAAGCTTGTTGCTGTTTATTGTGTATTAAATTGAATTTTCAGTCCGCTTTATGTTTGGTCAAAGTCTTTTCAATTTCTCTGTGTTCTGTGTTGATACCTTGCATGGATAGGTGATTTGCTGCAACATTTTTTAACTGTCATTTTCAATAAACTGGATAAGGGAGAAACTTGGGATGATGATTTTGAGTTAAACACAATTTTACAGGTATGTTTACTTTTTTCTTAACTGCTATTCTCTGCCTCATGGCTCATGCATTGCTATTATTTATTCTACTTTGAGGCCATATCTAGCATCAATGGTAATTCATCCTTTGGGGCTTGTCTAGACATTAAATTAAATTATATATAAAGCTTTATCCTAGGGTCCTAATGCTTTTGAGAACTTATTATTGTTCAAGTGCTTAATATGTAACAGATAAAGTAATACTAATAAGTTTATTGTTTGGCTAATTTACCCTGCTAAAGAGTAATTGCAATGTGTAGTTCATCGAGAAAGGACTTACACATCCCCATATATGCATGGCCGCATGTCTTTCATTAAAAATTCTTCTGCTGATTTGTCATTATGGCAGGGAGACTCTGAACATTCTGGGTCTTCTGACCTTGTTGAGTGTGCTTGTGTTTCTTATCATTCTAGTCCTCGACTTTCTTCCTTTTTGTTCATATATAGTTGTATGTATGTATTGTTAGCTACTTGGATTGAAATATACAGTAGTGCAATCTTTTCCCAGTGCACTTTTGTAGGTCTGAATGCTGGCCCTGGAACAAAGCCAATTTGTGATTATCTATTCTCCTGGAGTTTTCAGCTACCCATTTTGTTCAGTGCCATTTCTACATTTGAGTTGGTTGCATGGTTGTGATGAGATTAAGGACTTGTTTGTTTAAGTTTCTCTTTTTTGTTTTTTAAAAAAAGTTATTTCCAGGTTGCCCAAAAAGTAATTTATTATTTGGATATTTTTATGAAAAACAGAAGTTAAATATAGAAGACACTTTTTACCTGAAAAGTGATTTTCCGCTACTTAGATGCTGCTTGAAAGAGCCTGTCAAAATAATTAGAGATCTGATTTTTTTTTAATGTACTGATTATTTTTGAAAGTTTAAACAAACATCCTACAAGTTTTTTAAACGTTTTTTTAGTAATAAAAAGTGCTTTTTTTGCTTAAAAATTTTGAAACAAACGGGTTCTAAATCATGGAGAGGAAAAACGGACCTGAAGTTGTGTCTCAAAAGTTACTTAGTAAAGACTTTGAGAAAGGATAATGGACATGTAGAATTGTGGGCGATATAATTTATGCCTGTTTATCCAAATAATAATTAGCGAACAAATTGTTGATAGCATGTGACATGACTTGTCCTGTATTGGATGAAGAGATTGCCAATATTGCATTTGCATGGACCAAGGAGCTATGTAAATTTTACTCCTTTTATTATGCCATTTGAAGAATCTTTCTATGAATATTAAATACAGGAATCAATCAGAAATTCTGCTGATCGCATGCTGCTAAGTGCTCCAGATTCATTGGCAGTGTCAATAACAAAAAATCTTGGTGTTGACAGTGACGAGCAAGCAGCCACAGCTAGTGTTTCAACATCCCATAATGGTCATGCCCATATCTTTGGAATCGATGGCCTTGATATGCTGAAATTCACATATAAAGTCAGCATTTAGCCTCAATTTTTTTAAAACTGAATATTGTTCATTACAATTACAAATTTCAACTTAAAAAGGGCATATTGAAATTGGCAGGTCCCTTGGCCTCTTGAGCTCATTGCCAATACAGAGGCAATTAAGAAGTATAACCAGGTATTGGCTTTCCTTTTGGTTCTATTAACAGTTCAAATTACTATTGTTCTTGCATTCTGGTTGGTTCTTTCATATCTTAATTTGCCCCCCATTTTTTCTTTTGTTTCAAATTTAGGTGATGCGGTTTTTGTTGAAAGTCAAGCGAGCAAAATTTGTACTTGATAAAGTGCGACGATGGATGTGGAAGGTAATTCTATACAGTACTGGCCTCTTAGCTGTAGTTCCATCATGTTCCTTGTATAAATATTCTTAAGGATGACGGTCAAATTTTTTTTTTAACTAAATTTTGGACACCCTCTGATGGGATTTGGGTTTAACTTTAAGAAGAGAGAGAGACAGAAATTCTACCAAACATAATAATGCCTGAATCTGAAGACATTACTTGCTTCAATAAACCAAGGAGAATGTCCAAATACAAGTCCAAATAAGTCTCAAGCCTGGCCCCTAATGCACTATGACTGCTAGTAATGGCACCAAAATTACAGCATAATAACGAATCGTAAACTACCACAACAACTGCTAGAAACTGCTGATATTGGCTTTAGACGTAAACCGCTTGAATTACTTCCTTCTGTCCTGGCTTCCTCCCTCCCTCTACTGAAAGCCGTTAAGAGTTGTGGGTTCCTATCACCATCTGTGGTTGTTATGCAGTTGTAATTCTGAATAAAACTAGCTGTTAGAGTTACTTGGTTAGTTGTGGGTTAATTAGCCGTTTGTTGGTTGAGACATTATTGGTCTTAGAGGCTTATATAAGAGGCTGGTTAGCTATGTAAGCATCATGAATTATTGTGTATTACTCAGAATTCCTACCTTTCTGTTCTCTCTCTGTCTCGTCTCTTTCTTCTCATCTGTTTCTTCACTTCTTTCCCTCTATTCTTCTTTCCAAACTATAATCTTCCAACAGTATGGTGTATGAAACTTTTGTGACCCAGTCTTGATTTTACGTTTTGCAGGGTAGGGGATCTGCAACAAACAACAACAAACGCCATTGGTTGGTGGAGCAGAAACTCCTCCAGTTTGTGGATGCTTTTCATCAATATGTGATGGATCGAGTAAGAAACTTACCTACATGCAGTTTTTAAGATAATTGGAAAGAAGGGTTACTCATAGAGAAGACTTGTATGCAAATTGCAAAGCACATGTCCTTTTGCTAAATCCACGGGCACTTACTATGCACGTGTTTCCTCATTATCTACTTGTTAACATGTGCGTCTTACCTGTCAGTACACTTTCTATGCAGGTATATCACAGTGCATGGCGGGAACTATGTGAAGGTATGACAGCAGCCAAATCTCTGGATGAAGTCATTGAAGTCCATGAGGCTTACATGTTGTCAATTCAGCGGCAGTGCTTTGTGGTTCCCGATAAGCTGGTAATTTATCGTGTCTCTTCCTTTGGTTTTCATGTTATTAAGTTTTAATTGGTATTATTTATTTACATCGGTCATTTATGCATGTAGTGGGCTCTGATTGCCAGCCGCATTAACCGCATCCTTGGCTTAGCTTTAGATTTTTATATCATACAAAAACCCTAGGCAGTGGTGGAGCTGTTTCTGCTATCAAGGCAAGGTGTGAGATGGAAATGGACCGAATAGAGAAACAGTTTGATGACTGCATCGCTTTCCTACTAAGGGTAAAAACGGTTTACTCTAATGCTGTACTCCATCTTAGTAATGATTAAAACATGGATTTCTTGTGGTCAGACTCTGATCTGTGCGCAATACATGTTCATTCTCATGCAATTATGCACTTCAAGTTATTGACTCTGCAAAGACATGCTCATATGCATTGTTTGCCTGCCTAACAATAATGTGCTACGGGGCTTGAAGGTCAATTGATTTTAACACGGAGATGCTCTTTACTTGGCTGTAAATGAAAGCACCAATTGTGGAATAAAATGTTGACTTCATTTCGTTGAGGTCACAGCGTTACATTTTCAATGGAAATTCATGTCTTTATGGAATATAAAACATCAGCTTAAGTGGACCTCCAGTGTTAATAACATAATTCCTATCCTGGCATTGCAGGTCTTATCTTTCAACGATACTTTTCCATTAATCCCCTTAGTAGATAAATCGCCTCTGTAGTTGATCTACCTGGCATAAAACCAAATTGATTCTCAGAAATACTTGTCTCCAATCTCAACCTGTGCTCAATTACTTTCTCCCACAATTTCATTGTGTGGCTCATGAGTTTAATCCCTCTATAGTTAGTACAATTCTGAATATCTCCTTTATTTTTATAAATAGGAATTAATGTACTTCTCCTCCACTCATCAGGCATTTTCTTGGACCGTAAAATCACATTAAATAACTTAGTTAACCATCTCACCCCTTCTTCACCTAAACATTTCCACGCTTCGATAGATATACAATCAGGTCCGTTAGCTCTACCATTTGCCATTTTCTTAAGAGCTTCCTTTACCTCCTTATCACGTATTTTTCGATAGAATGACAAATTTTGTTCTCCTTCTCCTTCACCAGTTACTAATCCTCCAAGTTACTAGATGAATCCTCTCCATCATTGAAAGTTTAGAAAAATAAGTCTCCCATCTATTTTTAATTTCATCATCTGTAACTAAAATTCTTCCCTCTCATCCTTAATACACCTTACCTGTTCTAGATCTCTTGATTTTCTTTCCCTACTCTTGGCAATCTTATAAATATTTTGCTCTCCTTCCTTCGTCTCAAGGTTCTTATAAAATTCTTCAAAAGCTTTAGAACGAGCTTCACCCACAGCTCTCTTAGTTTCCTTCTTAGCCATACGGTACCTCTCCCAATTTTCCTCATTGTTACACAAATGTATGGCTTTAAAACAGTTCTTCTTATACTTGATTTTGTCCTGTACACTATTATTCCACCACCAAGACTCCTTATCTCTCGGACCAGGACCTTTCGATTCTCCCAAAACTACTTTTGCAACCTCCCGTATCTTTTTAGCCATATCCTCCCATATGATGTTAGCACTTCCCTGAGAATCCCAAATTCCTTTATCCAAAAGATTTCGCTTGAAAATATCTTGCTTCTCACCTTTTAATTGCCACCACCTAATCCTTGTGTTACTACTTGTCGACGTTTTTGGATTTTACTCATAATACACACATCAAGGACTAGGACCCTATGTTGTGTCGTTACACAGCATCTCCAGGGATCACCTTACAATTTTTACAAAGTTTTCTATCTGTGTTCCTAACCAAAAGAAAATCAATCTGCGACCTTGAGGTTCCACTTTTGTAGGTGATGAGATGCTCATCTCTCTTCTTGAAACAAGTGTTGGCAATCTTAAAATCATACGCCAATGAGAAATCAAGAAGAGTTTGCCCTTCATTGTTTAGCTCTCCAAAACCAAAACCACCATGCACCCTCGCATACTGACCAGCTTCCCTCCCGACATGCCCATTAAAGTCTCCTCAATAAAAATCTTTTCACTCTGTGGTATGTGTCGAATCAACCCCTCCAGATCCTCCCAAAATAATTCCTTAAGACTGGCTTCTGTCCCGACTTGCGGCGCATAAGCGCTAACAATATTAACAGTCTCACGTCCAATTATCATTTTTAAAGAAATAATTCTGTCTCCAATTCTGCTAACTTCTACAACGTTCTTCTTCCACTCCTTATCTATAATGATGCCTACTCCGCAGGATAAAGAATTAGATTAATAAAAATTAATTAATTTGAGAATATATATATATATATATATATATTTTGGTTTAGCTATGCATACATGTTAAATCACCAGTATATTTATTCCAGGACATTCCATGCTTCATTCCCAATTTAGGAATAGAAAAATTGGGTTTAGAATATTTGAGATAATTTAAGAAGTCATTTCAAATGATTTTACAAAAAAAAAAAAAAAAAAGACTATCTTCAAATAGCGGGCAGTGGCTACTGGCTGGTGCCTGTATCAATCACCCTCCCCTTGCTTCATCCTGTGTACTATCTTATCATTTTCTTTTCTTCTCTTTCCTCTTTTCTTTTCATTTTTCCAAGCCAAACACTGTAAATAATTAAATTATTACTCACCGCTGGGTGGTTTATTATGAAATTTCATAACAGGTTAACAATAATATGATTGGCCAATTCCTTGCCGTGTATATTATATTGCGGACTCCAACTTAAGTTTATTGTCATATTTCTGGTGTTAACAGTTTGTTGTCCTACTTTGTTGGCCGACGAGAAATTAGATTTCTAGCTTTCGAAGTTTGAAAATGTTTAAATAATTGGGAGCGATGAAGTCTTCATTTAGATCTGGGTCTAATAACAAGAATCATTGATAAAATGATGGCTCTATATGTTTCTCTCTAAAATTATGATTAAAAAGAAATATTCCAATCGCAACAAATTGTTCATTGAGAGGTGTTAAGTCTTTTGATACTCCATCACCAATGTTGCTTGCCAGCAATGATCAAGTCGTGACGCTTCCAAAATGGAAGGCAGATACAATAAAACCCTCGCCAACCCAAGGAGACCTTCAAAGTTCCATTCTGTGGACAACTGCCCAACTTAATTAGGACCATAACGCACTCTTGCTTTCTAGATTTTCGTTCCCAACCCATTTAGGGAGAAATATTTTGGTAAATCAGATGTTATGTCATTTATAGTCTGTCCAATAAAATATAACATTTAAGTGATATTAAATATACATGATTTTAATATTAATGATAATAGAAAAAAAATAAAAAATTAAATGTGCATTTTATTATAAACTGAAATCAATTAAAAAATGCCACACAAAATTTTATTTAAAATATTTTAATTAAACAGACTATAAATGACATAATACATTCAATTTATATAAGTATTTTTCTCCATCTGGATTGATTACTTTTTTTCAAAGTTTATGATGAATGACCTAATCATCTAATAATCACTAAAATTCAACTACCCCCATTGTGAAAATGTGGACTTGTTTGAGATTCTGCCAAGTGCCAAGGTCCTGTTCAACTCCACTGCCTAGGGGAGAATTGAAAAAAATACATAGAAATATGAAAGAATTGGGGAAAATGCTGTGTCTATTAATTGTGCAGGTTATGAAATTCTCTCCTCCTAACCAAAATACAAAATATTGATAACTAATTTACAGTTTTAAAAAAATATTAATTGAAATCTTATTTTTTTTAAAAAATAAAATTTTTTATAATAATACTCTCATTACATACCTTATATAAGTGCTTTGATAATAATAATTAAAATTTTAATGCATTATTTTTTAAAATAAGTAAGGGTATAGTTAAAAAAATAATTATAAAAAATTACTTAATGTTTTATATTCTGTACCAAACAAGTTTCTTGAAGATATTCAATATTATGATTGAGAGGGAGAATATGGACTATAGAGTAGAAATATTCCAGTTTAATAATATCTAATTAATACAAAAATATTTTTTAATGAATGCATAAAATATTCGGTAATGAATACAAGATCAATCTCAATTAATATTTAATAATAGATCATAACAGTGCTATTTCTCGGCATATAAGTAGCAGGTGGAAACCAACCAGCAGAGCATCCCATATCGGCTTTAATAACATCGATCGAATTGAATCAGAGGGAGCTAGAAGCCAGAATCGAGGAGGAGGAGATGAAGGTGGGAGCAGTTTTGGTGGCAGTGACGATAGCTTGCGTTGCGACGAATGGAATGAGCGAAGGCAGAAGTATTGTGGTGGGAGACTCTCAAGGGTGGCGTGCCGGCACAAACTACACAGACTGGGCCATCCGAAACAGCCCCTTCCGCATAAACGACACACTGGGTCTCGTCTTTGAATTAAGTCGATCAGTTAGTTCTGTTGGATTAGTTTAGCTATGCATGCTTAGCTTATATTGGGTGAGTTTGATTGCAGTGTTCAAGTATGCAGCGCCGGCGGAAGGGAGGGCAGCTCAGAGCGTGTACGTGATGCCGGACTTGTGGAGCTTCGTGACGTGCGATTTCAAGCAGGCGAAGCTGGTGGGAAGCCCGACGGAGGGGAGTGGGCAGGGTTTTGAGGTTCAGTTGAGTCGACGGCAGCCTTACTACTTTGCTTCCGCCGATGCCAATGGCTACGACTGCATCGCCGGTCTCACCAAGTTCGTCGCTACTCCCCAGCACCCCACCTCCCCTTTCAATTAGTCTCTTCCAATGAGTATGATCTCACCCATCCCGTGTTGGTTGCTTTTACTTTCGTTGCTTTTGCCCACCATGTTTTAATTTCTCTGTCCAGTTCCCAAGCCATGTATTCCTTTTCCTTCCATTATCAAACTATGAATTCCTGGGTATTATTTTCAATGATTTTGGTGTTTCTTTTGACTCCAACAAAAGAGTTAAAGAGGGATGACCAGCACTTATTTCCCAACACTTCATCTCCTCATCAAATGGAACAAATAAGTGGAATTGGTTTCTGTGCTCATCTGTGGCGCTCAGCACTGGCAGTGTTTTTTTTTTTTTTTCAAACCACAACCCATTACAATAATAATAAATAAATTTTATAAAATTATTATTTTAATATTTAATAAACAAATAAATACTAAGATGTTAAATTAAATCAGAATAGTTCAAATAAAAATTTTAATTTGAACAGTTTAAATTATTTTAAAAAAAATAATTTAAAGAGCTTAAAATTAGAATTGAATCTAGTAAAATAAGTTAGTTTCTTACACTGTAACAAATCAATATTTAAATTTTTGTTAGGAAATTTATTTTTATTTAATATCCGATCAGACTTTGAATAATATTTTTTTTTTCATAGATAGACAAGTGTGCAAAATTAATAAAATAAAAAAATATTTTTTGTTTCAATTTAACTTTTTCAGTACAACTTTAAATTGTTCAAATTAAAATTTATATATAAATTATTTAAGTTAAATTTCAATGAGTCAACTATTCAGGTTTAATTTTAATATCTTAAGATTTATTTGTTTTTAGTAAATATTAAAATAATAATTTTATAATATTCATTCATTATTATTATTATGAGTTTGTGATTTAAAAACAAAAAAAGAGACACTATCAAACAGCAGTGTTTTGGTGCTGATCCCAAATAAGTAGGCTGTCGGCACCTCTTAATTGTCACACAAACTAAGGACTGTGTGTTAAACAGTAATACAAGGAATAATGTAACACTTAAGACATCTTGCAAAGCGACTGGTATTTAAGCCAAACTTTTTTAAAAAAAAAAACACTTTTCAAGGAGTGTATCACATCACTGACCAGAGATTTCACATTTGCAGACGAATGACAGAAAAAGAATCCATTTAAAGAAGTTGCGAGACGATGGTATAAGGTATCTAAAAAAGAGTGCTCGGAGCATATTTAAAAAAAAAAAAAAAAAAAAACCAAAGAGATTTCCTAGTTGCATTGGGCCCATTGATGATGTGTGTATGGACAGAGTGTGGTGAAGCCCATTACGAATTATGCGTTGTGGGCAAAGTTCAGTAAAAGGGGTTCTGGCCTAAAGATTGTGGCCTGGCTTGTCTCCTTCTTGCATGATTATGGGTCTAACGTGGTGACGTCCGGAAGGGATGTCATTCTTCCGAAGACAAATCAAAAGTTGAAAATTGTCCACTCAATCCAATTGAAGATCTCCCTTAATAATTAATCACAAGCAGGCAGCTGAGACTAAGTGACTAACTCAAATAAGGATGATATGAATTTGAGTAGATATTTGGGGTTTAAATTCTCCATAAGTATAAAGAATAACCACAACCAAACACTTGCTATAAATAATTTATATCAATTTTAAAATAATATTTATCATAAAATTAAGCAATAGATTTCTAGTTTAACAAAATTAATACGAATTTTGAAGTGAATGTAATTTCTAATGATTGATTCTGATCACCAAAAACTTCCTTTTAGGAGTTCCCTGCTTTATATCCACTCCAGAATCTTCTCCCCGAATGAATTGAACAAGGTTAAGAGAGTGATTTACGGTGAGATGAATTGTTGATAAAGCTGTATCCTCTACTTCAAGCATTTGACTTGTACCAGCTGGTTTCTGGGGAATCGGGGCTTTACAAAATCAACTTTCTATCCTGATTGCAGCAGAAACAAAGGCAGGTAATAAAGTAGAGGGCGGGTTGGCCAAACTCAACACGACTCATTTAGTTTTACTAACAACACAAGGATTAGGATAGGAGCGTACAATGAATTAATTGGACGGATCTAGTCTAGTGAACCCTAACAAAGAAGATGCTCAACTCAGGACCTTGGGCGTCATCAGGATTAATCATGTAGAAAGCTTCAGAATCCTTGGAACCAACCACCCTCTCAAATCTGGCCCTCATGTACGTCACTTCCCCATCCCCGCTTTGTTCAGAGCTTGGAATCACCCCCGCCCCCATGGACACACTCTCAAATGCTGCATCACGTTCGCCTCTTCCTCGTTCATCTGCTTCCTCCTTATCGAGTACCCTACTTTTCTCCCGTTGCAGTACACTCCCCACACAAACTCCTCCAACAACTTCTTCCTGTGCGTCTTGGTCTCGCTCTCCAACGCGATCCTCACCATATCGGAGGCCATCTCTTTGTTCAGAGCATTGGTGTGCATGGGCAGCTCAATGAAGAACACGGGCATGCTGTAGGGATCCTCCTGGATGGCAAGGCTGACTCTGCCTTTGCGGTGGCCGAAGATGGTGGCGGTGGTGGAATTATCCTTCAGCATGGGCCTGCGGGGTCTGCCCAGAAGCGCCGCCATCTTGCAGCCCGAGGTCAGCATGGGGAAGAGCTTCAACACTTTGAGGAGGCCACCACTGGACAACTTGCCGGTGCTGCGCTTATTATTATCGCCGGAGCCGGAGGTGTGGCGCAGCAGGTACGCTATTCCCGGGGTTTCCATGGGGTTGCAGCTGGGACTAGACCGCACGGATGGCATTCTGGCATATTAAGGTTACAATCATATAAGGCTATCTATCGCTGACACGGCTCATAAAATAGATCGAGTACTAAGCAACCTATATATTAATTACTTGATTGGGATGATCAAGTGAAAGAAAAGCTTGGATGGAATCAGGATGTGACCAAGTATGTGAAATGGAGGAGGGGTTCAGTGTGATAAGATGAGGGGAGGCTAGCTGGACCACAGGTTGTGGTGATGGTGATTAGCGAGAAGGGTAAGTATGGTGGTAATGTGGAAATGGGAAAGGGGCATGTGCGTGTCTGATGGATACATATGATTTGAGAGACAGCATCAACGTCACTTGCTTTCTGCTTTTTCCAAACCCTTCGCTCTCTAATTATTTGAGATGCAGCCCACCCTCCCCATACATTTCATCCCCTGCTTTTGCTTCTCATATTTATTAATGCCCCCTTTAATTTGTCAGATCATATGTCCTTTCGCTAAAGCTACCTTTGGTATTGTGCTCATTAATTGATGTTTCTCTATATTTATCTGCTTATTTTTTGCATATCCGTGTTTTTTCCCATTTCAAAATTCACGCCTAGTGCACTCAATACGTACGCCTGCAGCATGCACGCCGCCCCTTGATGAACATAATATCTGGGCGCAGCATTACAAAATTATGTGTGTGGGAGAACATGACTGAAAACGACACAGATACCAATAGTGTCTGGAGCAACTGCCTTTGCTGTCCCATGTGGGACATACGTCTTCACTGCACCGGTGTGAAAGCAGGAAGACCAGCAGCATCTCACCAATGTACGGTACGTATGCCATGAGAGTTTGATTCCTATCGCAACTAAAGGGGGGGGGGGGGGAAAAGAACCTATCTCGTTCCCTCTCTCTGTTCCTCTCTCCTTTTGTCCTATAGTATGCTTACCGCATATTCCCAAAATCCAATACGAATGAATAATTGTTTCAGGCCACCATTCTCAAAGTTCGGCTAGATTTTGATATTGTCAATTAATTATCAATACTGGAAGGGCGACAATAGATTGGGGCCTGGAAATTATTGAGGCAGTGATGGGATGGGTGATTGATTGTATTCAATTTCCACCTTGCTTTTACTTGTTTAATATGACATCCTGATAAACTGCTCGGTGCTTGTGGCTTATAAGGGAAGGTATATACATGACAAAAGCAATGTTGGCTCTGAGATGGTGTTTTCTGGAGGGTGCGAGAAACTCATCTTCATCAGCAGACAGTGATTTATTCCTTCAGAGATTTTGGATAATGAGTTAGTGCTTCCAGGCAAAGTTTTACTCACCAGCCCTACAAAAGAATTGACCCTCAAAGATGAATGGACAGCACTTGCGTGCTTTACAAAAGGTCGCTGACACTAATTTTATCTCATGCCAGTTGCTCAAGTAATACTGGCCAAGGCACAAATCTGTTGTTGCATGAGAGATCAAGTGTAGGTGTAGCGGAGTGCCACTACCACCACCGGAGCTTGTCAAATCATGTTCGCAAGATGTTGACACCAAAACCCCCCGGGGGGGGGGGGGGAGAAGAATGACTTCTAGCTAGCTAACACAACTAGCTGTTTGAGCTAATAAACCACCAAGTAAGGCCATGGAGGATGATCCTGTTCCCAATGTGGTTTCTCGGAGTTATACAATACAATCCTTGTCCCTTTCATGTTCCTAATGTGCAAGGCGAACGCCTTTATTTTTTTCCCGGGAACTTTGTTAGCCCATATTTTGACCCACTAGTCTGACCCATTATTCCAGCCCACTATAACAGGCCCTTTTCTCCCGTCTTATGCTATTTCGTTTGCCTTTTGCTTGTTGCCCTTTTGGCTTATATAAAATTCTACGTTTTGTGTGCTGCTGAAAGTAACGAGTAGGGCTGTGCATAGGTAGGGTCGGTAAAGTAATTCATTAATCTGATGCCCTGTCCTAAATGTCTTTAAGCAAAAAAACTATGCCTAAAGTTCAATCCTATTCGAAAGATGCCTGACTTTGGAGGGGTCGAGCGGGCAGGGTCGGGTATGGATCGAGCACCTTGGGCAAGATCTCCAGCCTTGTGCTACTAAAATAAAGAATCAGAACCATCCATACAAATCTGATATACACTGTAGTAGATTAATTATTTTCATCAAAAAATCACTTCAAGCTCTTATTTTAAAAGTAATAGATTATTAAATATCACTAGCAAAAATATTATGGTGTCATCAAAAAACTTAATGGCAAAGCAAATATGGAAGGAATTTTTCATGCAAGTCACAAGTGCTGTGTAGTTCCAAATTCTAAGGAATATAAAAATATTTAACTTAAGGTTACAAACTTGATCATCCAGGCACCTCACAAAAAAAAAGGAACAAATGAGGGGTGAAGTGAAGATAAACAATTAAACACCATTTATGTTTCCATCAAGTTAACAAATTACATCCTATATTATTATTTTTATAAAAAAATATATTATATCTCGGGTCAGGCAGGGTCAATTGGTTGGATACCCCAGCCACAAACCCTGCCCAACCTGAAAATCGGGCTCAACTTGACCATGTCGAAATAATATCGAGCAATATTTTTAAGGCTCGGTTTAGGCATATTTTGCTCGGGTCGGGTCAGGCATCTCGAATTTATAGGCATCCCGCACAGACCTAACAAGGAGAATACAATGATCATCTCGCTTCCATAGTAGACCTGTAATTTTATATTATAACAAGATTGTAATCCGAGATTTGCTTTTAAATTTTTAAATTTTAAATTTTTTTAAAAAAATTAATAATATTTATTTAAATTATTATAAATTTAAGAGTTTTAATTGTAAATAAGTATTGAATATCAAATGTAAATTTTAAAATTGTAGCAAAAATTCCTATTTATAATTATTTAAATTAATATTTATATTTATTTTATAAAATTTTTTATCAAAAACCTAATTGTCATTAATTCATTCCTTAGAACTTAATTGTCCTTCTCCCTAATAAGCATTAGTTGGTACTTGTATGAAAAAGGATGAGATCTAAATACTTAATATTATATATTTATATATATTAATAATAAATATTATTATGAAATAAATAAAAAATATACATGCCTTAATTTAATTAAAAATAAATATTTTAAATATATAAAATTAAGCAAAGAAGATTTTTCTTACGTGAAAATCAGTGTCCCCTAAAAAAATGGACTGCCTATCATGTTTCATCCTATATTTTCAAGAGTTTTTTTTCTTTTTTCTTTAATTCAATTTAATCTGAGCAACCCTTACTTTTATCCAACCATATGAAATGTAAACCACGATATTATTTCATTTAATATTCAGGATGATGGACCCTCGATTATCCATCAATATTCGGTCTTTGTTATTTTATTTCAAAATCTCCGTTCTTTTTTCTTTTAAGAATATGAGAACAAATTACTCTTTAAACTTTAAGTCTAATAATATTATATATCTTAAATTTATTTATTATGTAAATTATTTTTTCAACTTTTAACTTTTAAAAATAATATAATTTGACTTCTGTTTAAATAAAAGTTAACTTTTATCGTTAGTTGACAAAAACAAAAGAAAAGGATATCCAAAAATACATAAAAAAATTAAAAATTACAAACAATGATCCAAAAAATTACAGACAATGATCAAATTTTTTTTAATTTTTTTATTAATTAATGGTTAAATTAACTTTTTAACTGTAGAGGCCAAATAGTATTATTTTTAAAAATTGAAAGAATAATTTATATGATAATAAGTTTTAAAGTCTATAATTATTGAAGCTAAAATTTGAAAAATAATTTACTTATTTATCCTTATTTTAACGTGTACTTGACATATAATCAGTTGGTTGGTAGTAAATTTTTTTCCTAAAGTGACAAACCACCTTCTCATGACAAAAATAGAAGGGCATCCTTGCAATCCAACCCTTACTAGATTGACAAATGGACTGGATTACACCAAAACATGAATATTTTTTTGGGGGGGGGGGGTGAAGAGGGAAGCTCTCACATCACATGATCCAGTTTCATTCATCTCCTGTCTCTGTGTCGAGAATGTCGAACAATTTTCTTATGCAGCACACTAATCTTTCATTAAGCATGCATGTGACCTACTTCCCTCACAAATCTCCACCCCTAATAGGTTTTGGTTGATAATAGTTTAGCTGCAGCAACTAATTAAAAAAAAAAAGGTATGAACATTGCCGCTTTAAATTGTTTCCTTTTTTGCAGATGACACACAAACATACTGCAAGAACTATTTGATTATGTACAAAATTATTCATGTGAAAGGTAACAAATATAGGTAGTGCATAAAATAGTGTTCTATGCACATTATTGTATATAATTACACTTAAATGGATAACCAATCCAGTTTACCAAAGCTCAAACCCACGCTAAAAGTGAAATTTAGGCTACCGGCTACGAACCCAAAAAAAAAAAAAACATAGAGAGAGAAACAAGGTGAAGAACAAGTTTGTGGAGAGGATTGAGAAGGATGAATTATCTTGTGAGAGATCCCAATCCAACAAGCCTGCCTAAAATGCCCTGTTCGTAAGGCAGGAAAATTTTCTTCTTCAAATCTCGGGGCTGGGCTCTCTCGATGGCGTAGTGAAATCCATGGGACAAACGGGTCCCTTCTCGGTGACCCGGTCGGGCTGTTTATTGAGGACTTGACATCTTCAGGTTTCTTATACAAAGTGGAGTATTTTCTCTACAAATCCTTGCTAGAGCTTGGCCCTTCAAAAGCACTCTAAAACAACAAGAAATCCCTCAATCTCCATTTTCTGGAGCTCTGGGACAATCATAAAGATTCCTCTCTCGTGCCAGCTTCAAATTGATGCTGTGGACGTCATTGTTCATGCTCTTTGACCCATGTATATAGCGAAACCCTGTGGAGGAGAGTGGGATCTGGCGCCTCTCCAGCCTGAATTCGACGGAAATAGCATCGCCAAAGTTCGGTCTCTTCCTTGTCTCTCTTTTGGCTCAGGGTTCTTTATAGGAGATAAGACGTGGCCAACACCTTTCTCTCCCTACGAGACACAATCGGGCATCTTGTAAGAGATGTGAACTGGTGAGCCTGCAAGGGCTTGATCTTGCTATCGACAAACAGCTCCTCAGCTATGAGAGATGCTGCATTCGATTCCTGAATAACAAAAAAATGCAAAATTGTTGTCGCCTCCTTGTTGGATGGAAGAAGCAGCAAATTGAGCATCGTCGAGGGTGACGAAGCAGTCGAAATCACGATATAACCGGGGAATTTAGGAGGGGCTGGAGGGATTGCTAGAGTAATAACTAATAAGGAGAAAAATGTGGAAGAGAAGACCTGTTGCCACTGAACTCGCTGGATACCATCACTTCCACTTTTGCAATCAAAAGAATGTTCAGAAACCAAATATGTACATGACAGTTACAGAGGGATATACAAACGCGGGGAGGGAGTAGCGAAGGATCCATCTATTTATTAATAATTAAGAGAAAAATACATCCATCATCCTTTTATTATAATTTAATTACACAAATCTCTTCTCTATTCTGAAAATGTATATAAACCTCCTTTAAAATTAAAATACGTATTACATAAACTTTCTTTATATATTTGAAATTTTATTTCTATTTATTGAACCATTGCTTAACTGTTAAGTATGACTTTTAAGCTTTTAATTTAAATAAAATACCCCTCTTTAATATAAAAATTCTTAAAAATCTACATTTACCAAGAAAATATATTTTGTATACAACTAGAAAAAATGTAATAAATACATTTTTAAATTTTCATTATATTATAAAATTTGTTAATTTTTATCATATTATAAAATTTTATTTTAATTTTTGTCAAATTTATTGAAACTTATTTATTTATATATTTTTTTAATTATTAAAAATATATTATTATTTATCACATAATATAAAATAATATAAGTTTGAGAGATTATACAAATATTTAAAATTTAAAGTTTATAAATAAATGTTTATAATAAAATTATGTAACCATCAAAAGAATATATCTATGGTTTGTTTGGTTAAGGGGTAGATTAATAAATAGGATTGATATAAATTTTAGTTTAAAATAAGTTTTAGAATATTTTTAATGAAATTAATGGATTGAACTAAATAACATGTTTTTAAAATAGAAAGAAGATTTATGTGATTAAGGTAAAATAGGAAGATGGTTAGAGTATTTTACTCATTAATTATAAAGTATGATAAATAAGACAACCATGGATTATTTATTTGTTTGGCTGACTCATTGACAACAGGAATTTAGGGTATGAGAGCCGCCCTTTCATAACGTCCTGCAAGTCGTCGTGGATCATTAATCCCGACTCCTGAATTTAATAAATGACTGGGTGCACAGGATTTTTTTTTTTTTTTTTTTGGCCAATGAGTGAGGCGGAGGCCGGAGGGTTGACGCGGACGAATTCTTCAACTAAAATAAATTTTTTAATGAATTTAATCCATTGATAACTCTTGTCATTCAGGCCAAAAACAAAAAAAACAAAACAAAAGATAACTCTTGCCATTCTGGAGCATTTCCATGTCAAGGCATTGTCCCGCTAGTGTGGCTGTTTTCCTCTGCCATTTTGTAGTACCGTCGATGAAGTGGGTGGAGCATTATGTATACATAAAATAATATTTTGATAACTAATAGATTGACTCTAGCAGAAAGATTAGTTTTTCATGTGGTGAATTAATGTTTGAATTTTTATTAAAAAAAATGTTTAATTTTATTGAAAATAGAATTGTTTTTAATAAAAAAATATATGTGAACAATAAAAATAATACTTTGAGGAATGAAAATAATAACAATCAATTGAAAATATAGTCCGTTATAAAAAAATTATAAAATGCGTTAAACTTAATTTCTTTTGAAGTTTTGGCTTAGTATAAAGTTCCGATACAGTTAGCTTAGTATAAATTTAAATTATAAAAAAATGACTGATAATTAATACATTAATTTGATGATTAAATTTAATATGTTAATTTGTAGGTTTTTCTGGACAAAAAATTATTTGTAGGCACAAGAGCTCTTGTGAATAGAGTTGAGAAAACAAGTTAAGCCTATAGGGTTATCCCATTTAAGCCTGATAATTATTAGGGCCAGGTTTGAGTTTTAAAATTTCAAAACAGAACACAGGCTTATAAGGATCAGCCCTAATAGGCCGATGGCCTAAACAGATTGGCCCTATAGGGTCGAGGGCCAACTCGTTTAAGCCCATTTATTTTTATATTTTTAAAATATTATTTATGATGATAATATTATTAATATTTTTAATAATGTTTTAAATATTTAGTTGTTATTATAGTCTTTTTTTAAATTAAAATTTACTACTCCGGAGTAATACTTTAGTTTGTTTTAATTTTTTTTCGATAAAGTTTGGTTTGTTTAATTTTATACAATGATATATTTGGATAAAAAAGTAATTGTTTGATTCAATTTAGATTCTAGACAATAATTTGATTCACGTTACGTATATGTATTAATATTTTTAATTATATTTTTTTTAATATATATTATTTTTTATATTTTTGTATTTTATGACTTGAATTAGGAATTTATAAATTTTAATGTTTATTTGAAATAAGAAAATGTTTGCATAATCGAGATACTATTGATATTAAGAATTAAGATGTTGTTTATGTAATTTAACATTAAAGGAGAATTTTATATTGTAATGGAATGAATAACTATTTAATTTTAAAAATAAAAAAATGTAAAAGGGTTTGAAGCCCGCAAGGCTGGCCTTACGCTCGTTATACTGAGGGATAATTTCATATATAAGCCCCTTAAAAAAACTCAAGTTTAAACGGGCTGACTTTTTTGGATCCGAACCCATCAAGGGTTGATATTTTAGGGTCGATCCAACATGTTTTTCTAACTCTATTTATAAAGTTGTTGCTTTTCATTTTTGGCATAACATAAATATAGATGGTCACTGTTGCAGAACTAGGATAAGAATATGCACCTCTTCCACTTGGCTCACATCAAATGCTGCTTTCCTTCTTTTCTTCAAACCCAAAGTCATTTGATCCAATTGAGGTCCAACTTATAACATCATAAAATAAAATTTTTACGGAATTCTTCAAATACCTTGATTATCGATTTACAATTGTGACTAAACTTTGGCATTTTAAAGGGTTTTATCTTTGTTGGAATTCACCATCCATTGTAAAAGTCCTTTCACTCACATAATATAATTTCTTTAAAAGTCACCTTCTTTAAAAACTACAAAGGTAATGATTTTATTATAAAAGATTAGACCATCATCTTAATCATATCTTCAAGGAAGTTGATAGATACAACCATAGGTTTGTACGCTAGGCATCCCAATAAGGGTAAGTAGAGGGTGGGGGCTAAATTGATGGAAAAAAAATTATACAGTGTTATTTTTTAAAAAAAATTAACATTAAAAATAAATAACTTTATTAAAACAATTTTATAATATAAAATAGTAATGTAATAGGTATTTATAACAACATGGCATTGTAAAAAATAAATATATTATATATTTAATATACTAGTTTCAACATAAGTAAACATAGAAAGTTTATATTTTGACATACTTTTTATATTTAAAATACATTTATAATGATTGGTTGATGGTTACATGTCTATGTTAATATTATTATATCAATTTAGTATCATTAACCCTTTTTAAATATAATATTAAAAAATATTAGGTGTTTTGAGTCTTTTAGAGTGTAATTAATAATTTTTTTTAAAAAATATATTTAAAATTTTAATAATTAGGCATAATTAAAAAGTTTCTAAATTAAGACATCCTATTAAATAAGTATAAATATGAAAAGAATATAAAATTTTAAATGTCATTAACTAAGTTATTGAAGGTGTATATTAATTAAAAATACTTTATAATTCTAAATAGAGTGGGTATATTATAATATTTATGTATTTATAAATATATATTTCAAAATATTTATTTACTTTTTTTTAGGGGATCCATTTGAAATGCCCCATATTTATATCAATGGGGCCATGAGGTTGTTCTATCCCTGCATACTAAGAAATTTAAACCTTGTTGTTTTTAATCACCTACTTTAAGGATGCAAGTCTCTCATGAAATCTTACATTACTTGATTTTTATCTTCTCCCTTGTACAAATTTGTGTAGTCTTGTATTTCCAAAAAAAAAATCATATTAATACATTGCTAAGGTTTTTTATAAAAAGTTGGACTTGGCTATTCACAGTTTTATTATTTACATCATCTAGTGAAAAGTAATATGAATCTTAAAACTTTTTTAACAAGTGGTTGATAAAAAGTAAAATCAAAGTCATGTCTTTTTGGATCAATGGTCATTTTTTTTCTTTAACTTTACTTAAAAGATCATCATGTATTTTAAACTTAATTATGAGTTAGTTTTATCTCTCAATGTTAGAAATATTAATATGGAGGAAATATTATAGAGACAGATTCTACCGATGTGTTGGCTCTTATTCGAGAAAATATTAATATGGAGCATCAGGATTATGCTGCTATTATGGAGATAAAACGATTGCTGTCCAGAGAGTAGGTAGTCCAAGTCGGCCACGTAGCACGTGAATGCAACCAAGCAGCTGACTGGCTTGCAAAGAAGGGCCTCTCTGCCTTATCTGGTTTTCATGCTGTTCGTCACTTACCTGTTGATCTTGCTATGATTATTGATAGGGATAAAGGCCATCGGCCTTCTATGTTCACCAGAATTAACTTTCTAGTTTTCCTTGTTTATCAAAAAAGAAATTCAATTCACAGTGCCTGTAACATTATTTTCCTGTTACGTGGTTAAATTTGTTTTTTTAATGTTTTCATTACAAAATATTCAATACTTTTTATATCTTTTCTCATATAAAAATATTACTCTCTGCCTCTCCATCTTCTCCTCGCAATCATCTTCGTACCAAGCTTCATCTTCCCCCTCCTTCTCTTCTCTCTCACTCTCTTTCACCCTCCCTCTCCTTGTCTCTTAACTCTCTCCTCTCTTTGCTTTCTGTCTCATCAAACCTATGTCTCCAAAACTCCATCCATTTCCTTCTATCTTTAGACCAACAAAATCCTTTAAAACTTCATAATCTCCTCCACTCTTGATGGTTTGATTCACGAGGATAGAGTCATATATCTGTTTCTCATCCTTCTTACACCCATCCACAAATGACACCAAACAGCTCCCCCCCACTCAACATCACTCTAATCATATGTGCATAAAAATGACAATAAAGATGGTGCAAGGTGTAACATTCTGAAACTTAACTCCTTACTTTAATTCGACTAAATGAGGGTAGAGGAGTAGATTAATGTAGTGTGTGTGGTTATAAAGGGTTAATAAACTTATTTGGTTGTGATTGCAACCCTAAGATTGGGGCTAAAGTGGAGTGGGCCACTTAGACCTGAAAAAATGGAAGAAAAACATAGAAAGGCCTGCTGTACCACACACCATAGCCTTTGCAAGTTTCGTAGCTACACATAGACTAGATGAACAAATGAGGTACTTTCTATGCCACACACCATCATGCGTGCTGCATGTTTTGCAATGCATAGCCAAAATTTAAAATAAAGAATACATTTTGTGTTCGAAGTTTTAGAAGGGAGAGAAGAGTTTCGAGTAAGAGGGTAGAGAAGCATAAGTTTTTGATACTCCACCCGTTAGATGATTAAGGATGGTTAGTCTGTTTTTACTTTTTGTTGTTTTGTCTAATGTAATGTTTTCAAATTCTTCTAAATGAGTGTAGCATGTTCATATTAAAAAATAACATAAGTTGGCTATGAATTTGTACTTATCGTGATTCAATAAAATACTACAATTGTTATTACGACAAAAACTAACAAACAAGACGACACATTTCATGGAGTTTACGAGATTGACTCACATTGTCTGTGATTCATAAACAATGTGGCTTTGAGTTTTTATTTTCCTTTTTTTCTTCTTTCTTTGTTTATTAAAAGATTGATATAGATCTTAATGATAATGTATTCGGTTTTAAATATTCTCCACTTCCCATTTATGGTAACGGTGGTGCATCTTCTAGAGTTGTTTTGCATTTTCAAGTCAACCATAATTTAATAGAACTGATTCATATCCCCATCAAATATAAAATTTATAATTCATCCCATACACGAATCATCACACCCATCTTTCCCAATTTATTATAACCTATGTGGGGGGCAATCTAGATAAAATACATAAATTACTTCATTTCATTAATTATTTGAAGAATGGCTAGGAATTAATTTAGGTTATATTTTACTCCTTCTCCTTTTGTTCCTACTTATAAGATATAGAGAGAAGATTTATATTTTATCTTATTTATAAGTCATCGCATTAAATTTTTATCATAAATTTTTTTATCTGCCCTGCATTGAATGTTGAAAAGAAAAAATATGTTTGTAAATTACGTATATTCAATAGGAATAAAGTTAAAAAATTATTAAATTTTTAAACAAAATTAATGAGTTTTAAGATTTTCTTTTCAATTCAGGTAAAATATGTTAAAATAACTTATAAATAGAATTAAATGAGTAAATACTACCTACCTCGTCTCAAAATATAAATCATTTTGATAAAAATAAATTTTATTAATAATTATTTTTCAATATTATCATTTTCATTTATTTTATTTTTTTAATATTATTTTGTACATGAAGTATTAAATGAAAGATATTTTTTAAAAGTTTATGACCTTTGGATTGTTGAAAAAGAACAAGAGCTAACTCTAGAGTTTGATGCTGGTGATGTCACTAATTTAAAAAGTGCTATGCATAATGAAAATATTACAGCTCCATCAGTTTTTGAGAGAGACAGTGAAGGTTCTTGCTTACTAATATGTCTATTTATAATAATAATAATAATTTTTTACACATAATGATTAATGTTAATGTTAATGTGCCTATATTTAAAAACGTAATGCCACATCACCCGCCATGTGTACATCAACTTGTGACATGTCACCAATAATCTTGTGCCTCGTCAACTACCATGCCACCTACCATCTTGCACCCCTATCACCCGCCACATATATGACAACTCATGATATCTTATTATCCACGTTGCGTCATGTTACTTTCTTTTTTATCATGTCATATATTCATTATATTTATGTCAAAGCCAAGAATTAAACCTCTGACCTCATCCTCCCTTCCAAGTCTTGGATTCTCTTTCTTTACTAATCAAACTGAAAGGCACTTGCAGTCAGTATATAAAAAATTAAATATATATTATTTAACTATATAAATATATCAAATACTATATTATAAAAATACACACATATATATTAAATTTTATTTTCAATTATTAATACGTTAAAAATATTTATATTTTATTTAAACTATTATTTATATCATATTTAATAAAATATTATTTTATTAATGAAAATTAACTTAAAATAAGAAATATTAAATATTAAATAATTTTTATTATGAATATTTTAGTTAATTTCTAAATTTAATTTTTATGTTTAAATAAAAATAATTAAATATATACTTAAAGTCATTGTCAAAAGTTTTTTTTTAGCAATAATAGCTAGGAATAGAATTTCTCGCTAATTATCTTATTAAAAAGAGGTATTAGTAGTCCTTCACTATTTTTCTCACTAACTGTAAGTCAAGGTACGAAATCAACATTCCTTACTAATTTGATATTTTAGAGAGGAATAGAAAATTTTCTCACCACATTCTCTTACTAATTTACATTTTCTAGTAGTGTGAAGAGATATGAATATTCCATAATGTCCACATTTGAATGATGATGTCGGAAGTGGTTCTGATTTCTCTTAATCATCTCCTAATGTTTCATTTCCTACTTCTAAGATTTGAATGAAATTAATAAAAATTTTGGTGTTGATTATTATGAGCTTTAGGTTTTTTGATGATTAAAGGGTTGTAAAGATGAATATTTTAAATGTTGTGTTTTTTAATTATGCTTTGATGATTGTATTTAATTTATATGTGGTATTGTATAAGATATTACGTCATGAAATTTTTTATTTAAATTATATTATTTTATTATATTTGGTTTGAATATAAGTTCAACTTTTAATTCCTTGACTGATTCAATGATTGATCTGATGTTTAGTAGGTTTAGAATTTTACTTGTTACTTGTGTGGGAAAAAAGACACTCGAAGTTCAAACAAAAAGATGATGGTGGCGGCGGTGAATTCGTGATCATGATATAACATAAATAATGGGAATAAATTTGTATATATTCATGGATCAATATCGAGTGGCCCAGGGACAAAAGTAACCACCTGCGATACTGACAACAAGCGTGGTTATCCTTGTCATGACAGAAACAGACCTCGACTCGCATAAAATAAAAGACGGTGGGCACCGAAAATACAATCGCCATGACATGCCAAATTGCCAATTTCCGTAATCATAATGATTGAAAAAAGTCCGCTCGTGGTCAAATGGTTCCAGTCAACCCTACTCTTCCAATGCTGGTAAAAAAAAAAAAAAAAACCTCTGCTCTTCCAGAAACGAGGTTCGGATCAGCCCAAACTTCTGGACTTTGTATCACAGCGGTCAGCCCAAAAGTGCTAAACAACAAAAATTTGAGGCCCGCGATGCCACTGTGATGCACGAATTGATATAAATATAACAGAATTAACCTCCGTCTCTGATGTCGTGCATGAATTGAGATACCGAGTCCCAAAACATTCCTTTCAATATCAAGGAAATTTTTATTTGAAATTGGATCCAAGCATTAGTTTTTAAAGTTTTATTTTACATCTAAATGAATTAACATTCTCTTCACCGTATTTTCTGATGAAAATAGGCGTCATCTTAATTTAATATGACGAATCTTGCGTATTTACGCTAAGGTAAACTATATTATTCACAACTTATGGGCCATATGAATTTTTATACGTTTTGTATCAAACTCAGGACTATCCTTGTATAGTTGACATCGAAGTTGGTAGTGATCAATCACTATGGTGAGGCTGAAGCACATACCCAAACAAAGATTTGTAATTTAGCATCAAATTCATAAGATAATTTCTCGCAAAATAAAGGCTCAGTGAAAAACTCTACGAAAGTCGACCCTTACTGCGTGAGTGCCAACAAAACCAGAGAATGGGTCTTGCCTTGACTGTTGTAGTAGTTTTGGAACTTTCTGTGTCCTTCAGGAGACATTAACTGTACTAATATTTGTTCATCGGCTTGCCAATGGAGGGATGCGGTGTCATGTTACATACAACCAAATCTTGGAAGCCTCAGGATGCAATGTTCTATGGTGGCTTGCACTTAGCCATATCCGCCCACATTTAATTTTTGCCTTGGTACCACGAAATTAGCACATAAATATGATTCTCCCAGGTGCGCTCGTGCTTGTTGTAACCCGAAAAATTAAACATTTCTTTTTGAATCCAAAGTGGTCCTTGGATGGCCCTACCTTCCGCATCAGCGAAACAGCCATTTCGGGACTCTCTGGGACGCCATTCATACGAATGCCTGAAGTAGAGTGGAACTTTTACTCTTTAGCATGTCCTTTATACTAATGGATTAAGTAATAAGAGACTACAGTGCAACATCTGAAACAAATTATTATTGAGAAAAAAGACTGATAATAAGTGACTTACTCATGCTACTGATATATACAATTTTATAAATGTTGATCCATAAAAGCTTCTCCTGATAGTTAAGGTTCTCCAAGCTGACAGAGGCAAGTTTCCGAAAAAGTAGTCTGCATTTTTGGGAAACTATAATGCTCTCTATCTTATAATTGACATGTAAAACCAGAGCTTATGGAAAAATGTGATTAGTAGTGTCGTTTGAATTGAACGAAGGCCCAAAAGAAAGAAAAAGCAAAAAAAAAGTACAGTTTGGGTCGAACAAGACATACTTCAATCGGCTCAGTAAAAACAGAGATTTTGCGGTTCTTTTTGGATTGAAGGATTTAGCTTCAATTGCAAATAGTTGCTTGTAAGGACCAATATCCCTCTTCCCAAACTCAGAACAGATACCGTAAGGATCCCAGGATTCTGTTCCTTCAACAGAGTTTCGAGTTTTCAGAATCCTTATGTATGGCATACCATCTGCGGGCCCAGTATTCTTCACTGAACTCATTCTCAAGAGAATGCTTGATAAACACTTAACAATATTTTCAGATATTGTATTCGGGCTTTCATCTCCGGGTGGTTTTTCATGTGTACTCAGATCTCTTATTTCCGCAATTGGCTGGTCGTTCAGCCTTACTTGAGGCTGCACAATTGGAAAGGGAAAACTCACATTTTCACATCCTTTGACTCTAAAGGATACCTTTAACATACTCCTATCACACGACTGAAAATCATTTCCATCAGTACCTGCCTCGGTGGAGGACCTCTACGTTTCTGCACTGATTTGTTTTCGACGGGAAGTTTTGTAATTGCAGTCTTGGCCGTTTGGCCTGGACGTTTTGATTTATTGCTTCTCTTGGAAGAATTAGAACAAGATTGGTTTTCTTTTCCGTGTTTATCCTCTGGCCAGACAATAAGAAACACAATCCAAGAGGATTAAATTCTCTGAAGCTGAAACTCAAGGTATGCATGCTTTAAACAGAGAGTTTAAGCTGGGTCATTGAAACGAAATGCTCACCCGGAAGTGTTGTAGCAGAATTCGCTGTTGTTTGGGGAAAAGACTTCAATTTGTCAGGCTTGGGGCTGTCAATTGAATTTGCATTGTCAAAATGAGCTAAATTCTCCATCCTCCTTCTAGGAGATGACATGTGCACAGCTCCCTCGTACATGTCCTGCCTCAAATCCACGACCTGCTCTTCAAGCCTTGCGATTTCCTCTTCCAGAACCGCCACTTCCGCCAGCAGCGCTAGTATCTATATATTTAAAGATCCAATCAGCACTCAAAATTTCTGCCACTCCTCTTTCAATAACAAGTCTTTGCAAAGTTCCTAATTCGGTTATCGTTGTCATGCTTACTGACCAACATTCTTTCCTAAAAGCCGCGTTTGATTAATGTTTAGAGAAGGACCAAACAAGAAATCAGCAATAGAAAAGGAGAGATATTTACTGACGTAAGGGGGGAGAAAAGGACGAAGACGAGGCAGAGCTCCCAAAGGCCGGTTTAGAGCCCTCTCCAGTGCCCTGTGGATATTCTCTTCATGCCTGAGCTTCTTCTTCAACCTATCGACCTGAATGACGTTGAATTCAGCACCGTTATCGGTCGAAGATAAGGAAAAATAAAATCCATAAAAATAATCATAGCAGACAAAAAAAGCGGATGCCTCTTGTTGCAGAGCCAGTTTTCTGTCTCTGCTAGATGCTTTTCCACCTTTAGCTACTCTTGCCGTGCCATTTCGCAAGCTTCCCTGCATCTCTGCCTTTTCATTCAACGGCGACGAAGTTAGGATCCACAGTACATTACGACAACACAAACAACAAAGATTAAATGACGGTAAACAGAAAAATTTCAACTCTTGAGACTTGGTAACAGTTGTCACGGTTTTCCTCCCTTCCACCTTAATCTGGGACAGACGGGTCCATCATATTCTTGAAATAATTGTGATTTCTTTTTTAGAATTTTTTGGACCTTTCGGGAAGCTGTGCTTATCGAAGTCGAAGCCATATTTTGAAATTATTCATATCACTCTAAAATAATTTAGTAATCACGAACTCCATTGAAGTCGAAGTTGTTCTAACTACAGGAACTAAATGCAGAATGAGCGAGCAAATTTATGATTACTTTTTCAGGTGTCATTGGAGCTTTGACAGGTTGAAGTCGTGTCCTAACTCTGGTATTCATGGTTTCCAATGATGCAAAATCTGCAGCGATCACTTAAACCCGCACGTCAATTTGGTATGCAAACAGCTAGCATTATTCATTTGTAAGAAAACAAGTTCATTAAAAGCAAAATTAGCTGGGTGATTTATATAAAGATCGAACCTTTGGGTCAATTATCAATCAGCATGCTGGAAGACAATAATGAAGGTGGAGTGAGCGATTAGTCAGATATCCAAAAATTAAACCAGCTATTTGATGGGCAATTACAAGTTGATCAGGGGAGTTGCAGAAGAGAGATGCACCCAGAAGCACAAGTGAAGTGTGGTTAGGGAATCGAGGAGAGAAGACGACGATGGAGGAGTGGGGGGTTGAATCCGCCGGGATGGCCTTATTAATTGCTTGACACAGAAGAATGAATATTGAATTATAAAAAAGAGGGTAAGAGGGAGAGGGATGAGGAAAAGACAATATGCGCATCCGATTTGCAAGCTAACGATATGACCGTACGAAGCCACTCCCCCTACGTAAGGCTCTTTTTTTTTTTTTTGTGTTATTATTTTCAAAGAAATCAAATCAAACTTGAGATCCTCTTCAAAGTCAAAAAATAAAAATAAAACCCTAGCAAATACTTTTCACCTACGCTTGTTAAAACGTTTGAAAAGCTAGATGCAATAAATTTTTCTTCAAATGCGGATACTAAACAACGATATTATTTTTTTCTGCACTCAACAAATCCACAGTAACCTAAAGCTTATATTCAAATTCCATCACTTGAATAAAACAGATTTTAGATATGATGTTAAATAGATTTTATTTTTTTTTTCACCAAAGAGGAGATTCATTCATCAGGAATCAAAACAAGAGTCTGACAGAGGACAAAACAAAGCGAGAAAGCATAGAAACGTCATAAGCCAAAAGCATGGCAAAGACCTAAACAAAACAAACTAAAGAAAGACAATCAGCCAATGCTCGCTTGAACTTAGATGGATTAAATTTAACACTGATAGCTTGGTTGGCATTAGTGGCATTACCACTTGTGGAGGCATCAGAGGCAATAAGAGAAATTAGATTAAAGAATTTCACAAATATCTCAATTATCACCCTGGCATAGCAACAGAGCTCATAGAAATTTTCAAATGCTTTGTTGGAATGAGAAATTAATCAAAGTTAATATTTACTTTGATTTAATGGAAGCTTTATCACTCATTAGCCACAACTATTTTGAAAGTCATTCCTTATTTGACATTATCAATAAAATTAAAGATCTCATTGTAAAAGATTAGTTGGTTATCTTTGATCATATTTAAAGAGAAGTAAATAGTTATACATATCTCTTGGCTCATTGACCATCATGTGACAACTTCAATATTGTGATTTTATATAAACCATCGGACAACTGTAGAAACCTATTGATTTTAGACATAATTAAATCTTAATCTCTCTATACAGTTTGTTGTGGCTTTATATTAAAAAAAATAAAAATAAAAATAAGATATTCTAAATCAAACCCTTTAGGAATCGAGAGAGAGCATAAACATTATTAGAAAGAGGCAGGCATTGCTTCCATAAAGTACATGAAAAAGGGGTTAGGATGAATTTTTCTTTGCATTACCTCTTTCTTGTTTTACTTGAATTGCCATTAAATATTCAGTTTACATTTGGTATGCTTCTAATAGAAAAGAAAAATCTTGGAAGCCGAAAACAAGAGCAGATCGATCAAATTGTTGACTGGTAAAGCAATATCCAGCTCGCAAGATTTGTTTCTTTGTTTGGGTGGTTTTTGTCGGTGGCTGTATTAAATTAGATTTTTGTCACGCAACAGAGTATGGTTAAGATTTTAGGGGTTTGCATCTCGCCACGCAAGAAGCTACACTAATCACATGCCTTTATGCAAACTGAACCTTTTATGTGTAACCAAACCGAGCCATTTCCATGATTAATATGCGTTTGTATCTGCCATGATGGATGGATAAAATATAAATACATGTTCAATTCACTTTCTTTTTTTCTTCAACAAAATAAACAAAAAAAAAGGTATAGAGAGAGTACGTATAGATTAAAGCCAGCCCACAACTATTTTAAAAATGTTTACCCCTAATCTAATCCTTCATTTTTTACAGGAAAGAGAGAAACACACTCACACAGATACACCAACATGCCAACGCCTGCCCAACCATTTGAATTGAAATGTTTTCATGAAGCACGAATTGTATGCTGCTATGTATAATTTACAAATTTATAACTTGTCACAATTTTTTATAATTAATGACAAACTAAAAGGGATAGCCATACCCATGAAACCACCGCCGAAAACAGTTTCAAGTGATCCTGACGGGCAAGCAATATTATATACAATTGCGCCGGTTTGGATATGCTAGTATAATCAATTCTACCCACCAAAACCATACTTTTGCTAAAAATAACCCAAACACCTCAAAATTTTTTTTTTTTGGTAATTGATTTTCCCCTGGAACTCCGTTTTGCCTCAACCAATCTGAAACTGCTTTTCATAATCAATTATTGCATTTCACTTCATTATTATTTGTCAGAATTTTCAATCTGCCAAAGATACCCTTAATCTCCAGCGAAGGATGGCACACTTTATATTGCCTGAAAACGACGATGGTGTGAACAAGAATTTCCAAGACTTTAACCAGCAGGATCAATATATGTATAGAAAAGTAACATTTACAGGATCTTGAAATCAAAACATATATAGTAGATTGTGATGAAGATTGATGAGAAAAAAAAATCTTGTTAATACTATAATATAATATAATATTTTTATAAAAGATTCTTTTACTTTTTAATATAATTTTCATAATTAATCATATATATTTTAAATATTATATAAATATTAACTGGACTATTATACACTTTACTTGTTGAATAGAGTTTAACAAATTTAAAATTTTTATATACAATGATATTAATATTTATACCTTAAAAGATAATGTTCTTTATAGTAATTTAAATACTTAAAATTGATTCTAACTAAATCATTCAAATATCTTTAATTTTATCAAAATTAATTTTAAAAAAATATCAAAATATGATCGCGTTATAACATAACCAATTATAATAAAAATCAAACATATTTATTAATTTTTTTTATAATTAATTATATCCAACAAAAATCCAAATGAGCTCTGATTGTACAGAAAACTTTAATCAAAACCATTTTTTGGCCAATTAATTAAACAGTTCAAAGTTAAATCATTATCAAAACTTTCAGAATCAATCTGAATGTTTGAGATTGAATATAGGACGAGACCGTATCCCATATTCAAGGATTTCATAATTAAAAAAAAAAAAATTACATCCCCATCCACAATAACGTGAGAGAGTGAAACCCAAGTCAGAAAATGACTTCTAACGTGTATAATTAGAGTATAATTTTAAAGGAAAAGGATCATGTATAAATCGTCCGTCTAATCTTTGCAAAAGAAACATGCCGCGCCTTTAAATGAATTGAAAGCTCCTTTTGTTTACAGAGGTATTTTATTTATTTATTTATTTTTATTTATATGGATATTACATATGGATTCGATCTTCTCTAACAAGAAAACTAAGCAGACTTGTTTAGCTAGTGGAAATACAATATTTTGTGCGCAGCTCCTTAATATTAATAGCCCAATATAATGTCAATTCTGAACGCTCGTGATCAAAGAAAAAAAGAGTGTTGAATATTTTAATATTTTAATAATATTTCAAAAGGAATTATCATTTTCATTAATAATATTAATTATCATTTAATTTATTATTTTGTAACTTATGGTTTAAACTTCATTATTTTCCGAAACCTTTTTTAAATACATTAAGGTTTTATTAGCTGGTGTTTAATTGCCTAGTGTTCATGAGTTTTATGCTTGGAAGAGGCAATGTAGACAGCACAGTTGGTGACTTAAGTTCAGAGCCTTCAAACACTCTTCTTTTCTTCTCTCCTTGTGCTTCTTTTGAATTATTCTGTATTAATTTTTTGCTATTTTGTGATATTCATTTTACAAAATGGTTTCGCTAAATTTTGTGAAGTTCTGATGACTGTGCTGGAATTACTCTTGAAGACAAAATTTTTGAACATGGAACAGATTTTCTATAGAATTTTCCAATATAAAGAAGAAAAAATTCCAAGCTCTAAATAACCGGTGCAAGGCAAAAATGAAATGCACATGTAATGAAATGGATTTTAGGCCCAGCAGTTCATTTTGATAATTTTTTTCCTCGATCCTCTTCGCAGGGTCTCTAAAGACGATTCATACCAGCTAGCTGTAAAAAATCGCAAACACGTCTGCACCACTAGAGCAATGAAATAGAAAGTCATCTTTTTCATTGCTACCAATGCTAATTCACCCATAGTACTGTTAATATCATTCATACTGGGGTAAATCCCTGAAAGTGAACTGAAGCAGATCCCCGAAAGATTTTATTAGTTATGGCTCACGGGAAGTCAATATCCTTATATATGGCGCTGCCGGGTAAAGGCTATATATATGGCGGGGTTAATGGAAAGCACAGTAACTTTCGGCTTTGTGCTGGAAAAGCTTACTTTGGCAGAATCTCTTTCTGGACGATAAGCTAGCTAATGTCCCTGTGCCTCGTCTGTTTCAATACAGTACAAGACACTCGGACCCACCAACATCACCTATCCACTTTTCGTCTTTTCACAGCCATCCATACACCCATGCACCATCACCGACCGGTGCTTCTAAATGCACTGAAATAATTCAGCGTCTAGAATATAATGGTTCTCAACTTTTGATCACCACTTCATCCAGATGGATGTTCTCAGTACAGAAAACACAATTTTCTGGCCTTTTGAGAATGATTAAAAGAAATTCGCCAAATGTCAACAAATATACTTGCAGTAGCTAGCTAGGCTTCTTGTTGCCAAGGGTACGAAGTGTACATGGACGAAGGTAGGCAGGCTAGTGAACAAAAACTTCAGCTAGCTTCTCTTGGTTGGTGTTCCGGATTCCATCCCATTTACAAAAGGCATGCTACATATTCCTTAATTCATCCACGCATAGAGAACCCCTTAGCTTTTGTTTAGCTTTTACATACATACATACATACATATATATAGCTTTTCATCAGTGTGGGGACCGGTTGGATGATGGAGTGAAGTTGGATCGTCGTGCATCCCAAATCATTGTCCGAACTCTTATCCAGGGCGATCACATTCTCTTTTACGATCTCTCCCATTTATTATTATGTCTTGAGTTATGGCCGGCATGATTAAACTTCAATCGTCCGACTTCCCTTTCCTTTGCATTTTACAGCAAAGCACACCAACTTGTGATTTTGCACTCATGGCCAATTAGCACATGTTTAGCTACCCTCTCAATCAATACTCATGGCGGAGTGACCACGGAAAATTTTGCTCGCCCACTTCTTCCATAAAGGTCAAAAGGAATGAGAGTGGGGCCCAATTGGTGGTACCACGTTTGGAAGCTGGTGACCCTGCCGTGTCCATGGCCATGGGTTTCTGTGCTCTCACTTTAGATTCTTATCAAAAATAGGACTTTTCCTGCTGCCACTGGCAAAAGGTCAAAAGTAGCTGCATGCCAAGAAACCGGTGTCATTTTACTTTTACTCTGAGCTTTTTTCATTTTTTGTCCTCTGACCTAGTTGCCAAAACTACAATTATTTGACGAAATTAATGAACTAAATAAGCCAGACTAACTAGGGGAGCACTTTTGTTAAGGTAGATTTCAATTGTTGAAGCTACCAATCGTATTATGGGTAGTCAGTGAACATCCAGCTGGACTTTTGACATGAAGTTTGTCTTGTCTTAGCAAGACATGACACGGCCAGTATGTAAAATGGAGGTTATAGTGGAAGCTAATGTACGGGATTAAGACAGGTTACCTTCCGATGGCTGGAAAAGCAAATGAAGGTAGAAGGGGCCAGTAGAGAGACGTGAAAACCAAAAGGGTGGACCTTGAATGATCAACCCCACGAACATCGGAATGAGAGAGAAATGAATAAGAAGGGTGGTGAAAGAAGGAGATGGATTACAGACTGTAAATGAGACAAGCCAAGGAGGGGGGAAAAACTCAGAAAAGGAGCTTTAATAAAAACTACAATGGGGAATCTGAAACCATTTTTCTGTCGGCATGTATTTGGACTTACCTTGGATTTTGCCACATCTGATTTGTAAGCACTGATGCTACGTTTTGGCGCTTTCTACTTTACATTAATGAATTAAAGCCGGGCAAGCGAACTCATATCATGGCGACCGTTGCCCGAAATGCAACTTTCCGGTATTCTGTCATATGTACGGAGATATGCTCTCTCCCAAATCCCATATCGGGCAAATTAACCTGCGGACCGAGTAATAATACACTTCATTTGGGGGCCCAATATGAAAGCAAGGCCCAGGTGGTCCGAATAGGTAATGTACCCGCAATTATATCGGCTGAACACGTGGAAGGGAATAATCTCATCTGAATGGGCTTAGGAGAAGTGGAGTGGGTGAAGGAAGAAGTGAGGATCAATGGAAATGCAGAAAGGGTTACCAAGAAGTATGTGAAGAATATTGAAACATTTCTGAGTCATCCCGGATTCTGCTTTTAATTTCCTTGTATTTTCATTTTCATTCTGTGTTCTGGTGCGATGTGTCAACATCATAACGCACACTGTTTGCGACTAATTCATGAACTTGTTATAAACGACAAATTTAAATCTGCGTTCAAAAATGCTTTTTTAACACTAACGCGTGCCGATCTACATGTCGGACTTGGAAATGTTCAAACGTTGTTGCTGATGTTGTGCCTTTCGAAAAGATACAACATTCTCTGGGAAATCAGCTCAGTTGTTTCTTTTGGGATTTTGTCAGAGATTCCTTGCGGTCTTCTGATTACGTTGCTGATTAGCTCATCCAATGTTCTGATAAGAGAACATATAGCGTCAAGGTATACAACAGGATTCTATTTTTCCAAGCTTTTTTATCATTTATTTTTAAACTTCGCGCACATGCAGTTGGTTAGATTAGTTTTGCTTGTCTGTGCTCTGCTTAAATTAAACGCAGTTTTCTCTTTTGAGGGAATAAAATGATAACATTAAAATAACAACATCGGTCAATATCAAATTCTAGATGGCCTAAAAGAGAAACCATGACGCAGCCTTGCGATCCTAATCACAGTCGACGCCTTTCCTTGCCCAGAAGAAAGTTGATCCGTAGTGACTGGTCAGACATTTCTTTTTTACCTTATGAATATATTTTGCTTACTCTTCTTCATGAAAAAGCAGAAAAATTGGTTTGCTCCGCTTCCACGAAAAATCTTCGGACATTGTTTCATGGGATTTTTTTTTTCCCTAAGAATAAAAACTACAAAATCATTTGTATAGCTGTTTTCTATTTGCATATAAATTATTACCCTCAAAACACGTTTCTTGCTTACCTTCCAAAACAAAGGGAGAATGACAAATAAGGATCCTTGAACAATATCAATGACTCTTTACAATTGAAACATTAAGAATTTACAACTGAAATTAACATCAGGATTTACAATTTAAAGGTCTTCATTTTGTATTAATTTCCCTAGGGTCTTCAATTGTCATTCTCCCTTCCAACAAAGCTGATTTCTGGGCAATATTTTACTTTTTTTGTTTGGTAGATGCATCAAACAACAACATATCAACTCAGAATTTATAATTTCTATTGTAATTTTCAATATATTCAAATATATACAAATGCAAAATTTTTAAAATATCATAATATAGATATCTGATTTTGATAATCTAGTTATACATAACTGAACATTCTTTTTAGAAGAATGATGCAAGTCATAACGTCATTAAAAAAAATTAAAATTGATATATTTAAACATTTAGTCATAAGTAAATCAAAGCCTAAAAGTTCAAGGAGTATATCTAATTCCATGATAATGATTGTAAAGCACTCAAATTACCCAGGATGAACAATTGTCATTAATGGGTGTTCACCGGCTTCGCTTGATTTGATTTTTTCTCAAAATCAGATCAAAATAAGCCAATCGATTCATTATAACTTGAGACTTATTTGATTTTTTTTATCTAATCAGTTTGGTTCGGTTTTTAAGTAATTTAGTTTAATTTGGTTTATTTTTCATGATCATCTATATATATATATATATATATATTCATTTTCACTGATAATTTTTAACTATTAATAGTTATTGCAATGAAAAAATCTCTTGAACATAAAAGAATATTTTTTACAATTAATTAGCATATTTAATTATTAAAAATTAATATATTATATTTAAAATACTTGATTATAAAATCAAACACTTATCATAAATAATTATAGATGACATTTAGCTAATTGTAACATATTTTTACCTATGATTTACAAATAACCAAACTTGCAAAAGATAAATATAATAAAGTTTGGTTCCATTTGGTTCTTTCAGAAGCAAAAACTTAATCTAACCTAAAACAATCAATTTAGTCAAAAGAAAAATCAAACCAAACTTCATTTATAATTGATTTTGACTAGTTCATATCGATTTGATTCAGTCCGTGTAATCAGTTTGAATTGGTTTTAAACATCCCTTGATTGTCACCTTTGCACGAGCCTAGCAGTTCCTTCTTCTTCTTCTTCTTCTTCTCACTTTTTGTTGATATCATAATTAGCTTAAAGTTTTAAGTACAATAATAATATTTGTTGGATCCGTTGCTCAACCTGTAGAAATTATATAAATTAATTAATTATTTAGACTAGTTAAACTATGTACACATATGTCTGTCATGGGAATAATTTATGCCCACATATATATTTTATTTATAAATAATTAATAGAGAGAATTACAATTAGGTCACACACAAAAAAAAAATAATTAGTTCAGTTGTAATTAATTTTCTTGGAACTTTAATGTAATTTTTCCTAATTAATATCACAATAACTTGACTGCAAGTCATGTCTTTTTCTGTAGTGTGTCACTGTGTACTGTGCTATGCTATTTCAGCAGGAAGAGAGATCGAAGGCACGTATAGAGTGAACAGCGTTTTTGTTGAGCGGCCCCCTTGAACGCAAAAGCGAGTGTACGTAAAAGCCAGAATAAAAGTTACACCAAATTTATTATTATCAATATTACGGCTATATCATGATGAAATGTTCACAAATTTAGCAGAAGATATAAACCCATGGGAAGTATACGGCGAAGAAGGGAGAGGTGATTTAATTTACAAAATATAGGTACACACGTAGTAAGGATAAAAGAATACACCAAGCACGGATTATACGTACAGGTAGGTAGGATATATATTCTTGAAAGTGACTTAAATACAAAATAATTACCACACATGCACAGCAGCACAGACACACACGCGCGCGCACACTTATATCCCATTAACAGACATTCACCTAGGGCCTTGGAGATGGCTGGCCATGGCCAGCACCGGGACTATGACCTGGATCCGTTGGTCGAAAATCATCGACCCATGTTTGAAGCCCGTCATTATCATCGGTCTGAGGTTCAGAAGCAACAATAGCACTTTTTTCATGGGCTGTCACTTGTTTATTCTTATCCTAATGTGGTTTCAGTGGCCTTCCTGCAGCAGATGAAATTGCATGGGAAAATATTAAAGCCAAAAGCTTCGAATTGGCCATTGCAATCTTAAGAGAGTGATGAATAATATATCAAGGACTTGTATGTTTGAAGAAGTGGGGAGTGTTGGTTGCAAGATATTGAATATGCGGGGGTTATATAAAGCCAAAGAGGATGAGACCTGGGTAGTGCTAATTATTTATTTTTCTATGTTATAATGAAATGTGGGAAGAAATACTGAAAGGAATGATGAAGGTAAACTATTGAATGATGATGCTTCCCCTCAAAAGATTCCATTTGGCGGGGTTGGCGAGGGCCAGGTTGTAACATCCTAATTTTTCGATAAAAAAAATTTATGAAATTTAAGTTTTTTTTAAAATTATGATAATAATAGAAATTTATATTATTTGAAGTTATTTGAAAATAATAATATGGTTAGATATTTAATTATAAATTAAAAACTTAAGTTTAAAATTATATAAGAAATATTTTGTTAAAATATAATTTTAAGATTTAAAAAAAAATATTATTAATGTGTGTGTGTGAGTTAAAAAAAAAAGAGAAAAGAAAAGAAAAAAAAAGGGGGAGGGGGTTTAGTCCCACATCGGTTAGATGTGGGAATGAAAGGCACCTCTTCATGTATAAAAAGAGGAGGTGCATTGTGGAGAAAGCATGAAAATTTTTTATTGTAATTTGTGAAAATTGCAATTAAGGGCCCAAGATGTAATTTGTGAAAATTGCAAGTAATGGCCCAAAGGTTTGAATAATTAAATTCAAACCTATATTTTTTTTTCTTTATAATTTTGGGACCACAATCCCATTTTTATATTATTTTTCTCTCTTTTTCTCACGTTGCTCGGCGTTTTCTCGCAAGGGGGGATTATTTTCTTTTTCTTCAGGTATGTTCTAACTTTCTTGTTTAGATTAGCATTTAAAAATTTATTTAATTACAAAATTAATTTTATATTTATTTTCTAAATAATATTAGCTTTCTAGTGATATGATTATTTTGTAGGATAGAGTAAATATTCTGATTAGAATTTTTCTATATGATAGTTAATCTGATGATATGATGGATTAAAAATATAAGTTAAAACTCTTAGGGATATAATAAATATTATAAAATATTTTTTTGAGGTTGAAACTCTTGTTTAAGAATTTTTGAGTTAAAATCTAGATCTATATGGTTGAATTTATGTGGAATCTGAGATGTAGGGATAAACCTATGATTATTAAATATTTATTTAAGTATGAATAGATATTTTTGAGGTTATAGAAAGGTAATTTGAGGCTTCAGGATAATTTTAAAATTTTTAATTTATTTTTAGATGAATTTTTAGAATATAGAAAGATGAAATTGTGATACGAGAAGTGATTTAAGGATAAAAAAATAGTTTATTAGGGTACGAGAATTTTAGAAAAAGAATTTAGAAAGTTAAATGAGGCATAAATCTTAAATTAGTATTAATATGGATTATAGATCTAAGACTTTCTAACTCTTTAAATTAGAGTTATTTATTTTAATGTAAAATTAATATATAGTATTGTGAAATAATTATGTAGATTATATTGACAAAGATAGTGGTGAAAAAGGAGTTGTGAAGGGGAACTTGTTATTCAAAACACAAGGTAACCATTATTAATGTGTTGTGATGTGCGTGTTTGTGAATGGTTATGTGTTGTTTTTATTGTTTGAAAAAATTATGAATTATTGAAAATAAATACTGTATATACTTGTTTGAAATTATTGCCAAGTGGGGTTAAAAAAATTATTTTTGTTTATCATGGTGAGATATTATTGTTCGGATATATTCCTGTTTGGATATTTGAATGATGCATGACTTGTCAGAGTATTTTAATGTATAGTGTTAATGGGAATTTCTGTTCGGTTAATCATTACCACGTGGTAAGCCCTCATTGGACCTAATGAGTGGCATGTCGCTTGGTCCAACTCACCTTTGGCTGGGTGATTTGGCGTCCGAGCATGGCGAAAGGAGGATATAAGGTGCAGTCATGCAAATTAAATACTTGTTCGGTTTGTTTGAAAGTATTGTTCGGTTAAATGTTTTGTGTGCCCACCTAGCAATCGCATGATTAGTTACATCCGCATGCATCATTACATATTAATTTCCGGGACTTTTAAGTCTCATTCCCCGTGGTTAATATTTTTACAGGAGCGAGTCTGGCCGAGAAAGCACCAGAGGTGTAACTATGGTGTATGAGACACCATCTTTTACGTTGCCTCTTATTTTAGATTATACAATGTATCTTGTGCCAACTTAGGACATATCTTTTTTGTGAAGCATGTAAACTCTAATCCTTTTTATTAAAAGTATTTATATGACCAAGAGGATTATGTCTGTCCCTCTTGATTTATGATCTGATTTGAATATCATGACATGAAGATCCTGTCTGTCCCTCATGGTTCTAATTGCTTTTTGAGATATTTTAAGACCTGTGATATATTGTCTTGGATGTATCATGGTAGAAATTTTTCTACCATGATAAGGGTATGATAAGGGTTCAATGAAAAAAAAATAATTTGTTGAATTAATAATTTGCGAAAAATCGGTTTGTAAATTTGAGGGTGTTACACAAGTATCTTCTACTTCTAGTCTGTTGTTCATCAATTTGTACAAACCCTGTTTCTTGCATGTTCCATGCAATATATTTGGGTTGAGAGGCTAGTTGGATCTTACTGATTCACCAAGATTCAAGAATAGTGCGTTGCAACCCCCACCCACTATAGCCTTGCCTTGATTAGACCTTTTTGGTATGAACCCAATTTTTGACTTCGAGGGGCATTTGTGTGGCATAACCCTAACTAGATTCCCAGCTCTAATTAAAAGTTATTGGAAGTAACTATATATATCTATCATCTGTCTTATACTTCACGTGTCTTGCCATAGGGGCAACGAATAAATATTTCAAGTGTCCTAGTTAGACATTGATTAACTTTAATTTGACCTCGTTGATTCATTTGTTTTGTTGGGGAAACAGTCTGATTCTGATGATTCTATGTAGTGGGACTTACTATATACCAACACTATACTATTTGTCCACTTTTTCCATCATCCTCATCCTCACAAATAAACAGATCAATAACAACTAGCCAATGATGTTTAATTAGTAAACCTTTGTAATGTGACCTACAGTTAACTGTTGTAAGTATCAATCAATGCATATCATATTATTAATGGTGCAGCCATTAGGTATTAATGAGTCTTAATTGTATGCTATATTAATATGCATCATTGAAGGTTGAGATTTTTTTGTAAGCTAAACTTATTTTGAAATCAATGGTTTACGTCATGCCATTATGAGCGCGTGTTGCCATATATCAATGGTGCCCTGTATTTTAGTTATTTATAGCTAGTTTGAGTGTTGGATTCCTTTAGGTAATCATATATATGCCATATTTCATATTTGCAGTCTACTAATCTCCTACTATTATTGACCACATTTTATCATTGAACTTGGGAATTCTGATGAAATGGGTATCCTGTCCCATTATCGTACTGTAATTATGAAGAGAATCAAGTCCAGGATTTGTGGGGCATCTTTTTTCTGACAAGGGCTTCCTTGCAGGACTTTGAAACTCTAGAGAGCAAGTTATTTAGTTGAACACTTCAATTAGCGTGAGATAGTCGACACAAATATGGAAGTGGTTGATGTGTAGCAAACTATACATGTATGCAAATTCTTTTTTTCAAATTTAAAGCTACGTCCTAATTAATTATACAGAAACTATGGAACAGTAGGATCTACTAGAGATCTTGGCCGCCTCCCATGTCTAAATATGCTACTACAAAAGTGCAAGTGATCTTGACCAAACACGCACTAAAACCTGAATCCCATTGCCAATAAAAGAAAGGTGGACAAGCTTCCGAATGCCACTCATATCCTGGTGGACCCTCCGCTTTCTTATTATATTGTAATTATACAATAAGGAAAATATTATTAGTCAAATGAATCAGACCACGGTTTCAGCTTTTAATTTGCATCAAAGGGTCATTTCACTCACCACTAAAGCAGCTTTTTCAGAGGCTGTTGATTTTTTTGGGGGTGGTTGGCTCCTCAAGTTGGGGAAGTTCCATCAAACACCACCCAACGCAACTGGACTCCCATCAAATGATCATCGCAATTAGCAAAAATAAGAACAATTGAAAAGTCACTGGAGTCGTATGATAATAAGTTGTATTGATTAGTCTATTGAAATTTGAAAGCTATTAGAGACGGGAGAAATAAATTAAAGAATGATTGAAAAATATCGTATCAATTAATGTTGTGATGAGTACAATATATACAAGGAGGAAGAGATAATAATAAATACCATTAACCCAATAAAGACTATTTACAATAACGTTTTATCAAATAATATCTCTCAAAAAATGGCAAACAATAAATAGTAATATATCTTTAAAATATTCTAGATAACATCTCTTCTCAAATTCAAGATGGCTTAACAGAGAGTAACTTGAGTTTGTCTACTAGAAATTGAAATCGTCCTGGATGAAAAGATTTTGTAAACAAGTCTATCGGCTGCTACTTGGTTTGAATTAGAACAAGTCGGATGGTGTCCCGAACAACATGCTGTCGAGTAAAGTGATAGTTAATCTTAATGTGTTTGGTCCGCTCGTGAAACACATCATTATGAGCAATCTTGATTGCAACTCAACTATCACAATAAATGTATGTGGAGGAGCTCTGAGATGCTCATAACTCATCAAGTAACTAATGAAGCCAAAGTACCTCAGTGGTAGTGTCTGCTAGTGCACGATATTCCGATTCAGCATTAGAGTGAGAGGTTAATGTCTTCTTCTTACTTCTCCAAGAGATAAGGAAATGATCGAGGAAGATACAAAAACCCATTGTAGATCGTCGATTATCATGATCACTACCCCAATCGGAATTAGAGTGAGCTCACAGCGTAAGAGAGAAGCTAGCAAAAAAGTGAAGTTTATGATATAGAGTGCCTCTAATATATCGAATGATCTGAAGAATTGTTGCATAATGAGTTATACGAGGCTTAGACATAAACTGACTGACAACGTAAACTGCATAAGCAATGTTAAGACAGGTGACAGCAAGATAGATGAGGCCCCCAACCAGCTAATGATAATGGGTGAGATTATCCAATAAAGTGCCATCAGCGGAAGTATAGTGAACATTCGATTTAATAGGAGTAGTTTCAACCTCCTCGTCAGAAAGTTGAGCTTGGGATATCAAATCGGTGGCATACTTGACTTGAGAAAGAGATATACCATCACTCCTATAATGAATCTCAAGCCCAAGAAAAATAGTTCAATCTGCCAAGATTTTTAATTTCAAATTGCTAGCCCACGTATGTCTTGAGTTCCTAAACTCCCATATCATCATTGCCTTTGACAATCATATCATCAACATACAATAATAACAGAACAATACCGTGAACAATGGAGTGAACAAAAAGAGCCAAGTTGTGAGGACTACGAGTAAAATCCAATTAACTTATAATGTTACTAAACTTAGCAAACTATGAATGTGGAGCCTGCTTGAGCCCATATAGAGCTCGATGAAGACGACAAACCTTGTTTTTTGGATGTTGATACTCGAGTAGAGGCTTTATATACACTTCTTCTTCTAGATCTTTATTTAAAAAAGCATTTTTAATATCTATCTGATTAAGAGGCCAGTGCCTGATAGTAGTAATGGCTAGAAGGATGCGAACGAAAGTCATGCGGGCAACAGGTACAAAAGTCTCTTTATAGTCAACACCATACTCCTGAGTGAATCCTTGGGCCACCAAGTGAGCTTTATGTTGCTTCAAAGAGTCATCAAAATGAGTCTTGTTTTTATAAACCTATCAACACTTAACCAGAATTTTACCAGGATGACGATTAACAAGATCCCGAGTATGTATTTTCTCTAGGGCTTGCAATTTATCATCCATAGCTTGTTGCCAAAGGGGATCATAAGAGGCTTCCTTAAAGGATCTGGGTTCCTGAAATTGAAGAATGGTGGAAAAATAATGGTAATCATTGAAGTAAGAGGGAGGATTTCTTACACAATTGGGCCGAGAGTTTGTGGACAATATAGGCTCAGTAGGTATGACTTTTGTTGAAGGAGCAATAGGTATGATAGTAAGCACATCTAGAGCAGGCGCAACGTCGGTCATGGAAATGAGCTCAGTAAAATAATCTGTACTTGAGTCATTGGGAAAAAATCAGTAAAAATATCTATAAAAATTTAAGGTGAAGAAGATGAGAATGATGAGAGATTGATTAGAGACAAAAACTTAATATTTTCCCAAAAGATAACATGCGAAGAAATATGAATACGGTGAGAGAGAAGATCCTAACAACGATAACCCTTATGTTCATAATCATAACCAAGAAAACAACAGACATAAGAATGAGTTTGAAGTTTATTTGTCTCATGAGACGAAAGAATAATAAAATAAGCACAAATAAAGACTTTCAAAAGATTATAATTGGGAAGATAATAATGGAGTCGTTCAAAAGGAGAAATGTTACCAATGATAGGAGATGAGAGTCGATTGATGCAAAAGACGGAGGTTAAGACTGCTTCACCTTAAAATCATTTAGGATAATAAGAGGAAATGAGTAATGTTATAATAGAATCAAGAATATGACGGTGTTCATACTCAATATGACCATTTTGTTGAGAAGTATAGGGACAAGAATATTGAGAAATAGTACCCTAAGAATCAAGAAATATGAGTAATCTAGAGTCATGATATTCCAAAGCATTATCATGACGAAATTTTTTAATAACTTTAGAATATTTAGTGTGAATTATAGTAACAAATTTGATATAAAGTTTAGGTAACTCAGACTGATGTTTCATCATATAAATCCAAGTAAAACGAGAACAGTCATAAAAAAACAAAATATTAGGATCCTCACATAAAGGAAGTAGGTGTAGGACCTTAAACATTAGAATGAATTAAATCAAATGGGGAAGCAATAATAAAATCATTTTTATGAAAAGACAAAGTGGGTTGTTTGGCAGTTCACAAGAAATGCATTGCAAAGAATGACTATAAACATGACCTAAAAGACCATTTAAATTTAAAGGACGTAATTTACTCAAAAAAGAGTGACCAAGATGATAATGCCATAAGTTGAGAGAAGAATAAGGAGAAAAGGATGTGGAGGCATTACACAATGTGGGGATAATGATTTTAGGTGGGTGCATTTAGGTGAGCTCGAACATGCAACTAACTTTGTGTTCGATCCTGACAACTTGTCATGTATGAGAATCTATCACAATATAACCACGTTTATTAAATAACACATCATAATTCATACTAACAAACTGTCCAACAGAAAGAAGGTTGAAGTTAATGGCAAGAACAAAATATGTATCATGAATGGATAAGGAAGACAAGGAAACAGTACCAATATGACCAACAAGCATTTGTGAAATATCAGCAGTGTGTATAAGATAGGTAGTAAAGTCAGGTGTCACATAGGAGAAGAAATTTTCCTAACCTGTCATGTGATTGCAACAAGTAGAGTCAAAATACCAAGTGGATTTATTAGTAAGAGTATACAAGAGAGCATACGGGATAGAGAAACTAGAGATAAATGTGTGTAATAAAGTTTTAAATTCAATCAAAGAGGATCTCAAAGTAGGTTGAGCAAGATCACATTTTTCCAATCAAATACAATAATTGCAACCATTCAAGATAATTAATATAGATTGAGTAACATTTGATTTTTTTAAGAAAAAATGACTTACAAAAGAGAATATAAGATTAAAAACACCTAAACCAGAGATTGTAGTATGAATGGTATAGCACTCACACCAAGAAACTAATTAACGATCTGACCATTGAAAATGATGCATTGGATGTTCTATACTTGCTAACCAAATTTTTAGCACAATCCAACGATTAATGATTATGCAAATGCAGATTTACTAGAACTACCTTATGGATATGAGAAAATAGATTTAAAGTGGATCTGAACTCGTGATGAAGGACAACAATACTGCAAAGGGAGGCTAACACCCTTAAAAAATTGACTTATTGCGAAAAAAATATTATATAACTCTGGTGCCATGAAAGCTATTAGAGACAAGAGAGATAAACTAGAAAATGATTAAAAAATGTCATATTAATTACTGTTGTGATGAGTGCAATATATACAAGGAGGAAGGGATAACCTAATAAACACTATTAACCTGATAAAGACTATTTATAATAATATCTTATCAAATAATGGAAAATAATAAATAGTAATATATCTTTAAAATATTATAGATAACAAAATTGTTAGGTTATTTTAATTTTCAAATTTTGATAAAATTAGTAACTTATCTTATGCTTTTTGGCCCAAAAATAAAACAAATAAAATTTAACAAAGTAATTCTGAAAAAAGATCGCATTCAACTGCTGGAATGCACGAATCAATAATTTCTTTCCGGGCCGAAGTCACAACATCCAACCTAGCCGAAGGACCACACAACTTTTTACCCTCAACAAGATGGCCTGAACCAATAACAGTAACTTTTTTAAATTTCAGGTCACAGGAAGGAAAGCGGAGACTAGGCCGGCAAGAGAATAGTTTGGTGGGTTGGGCCTCAACATTAATGGGATGACCAAAGGCCCAAAGCCCTAGATGTGGCCCATAGGAATTGGGATTGGATGGGCATGGCCGGTGCCTAGGTCCCCAAGTATACTACGTAGGTCCGCGTCCATGTCAATTGCGCAATTTTGCGATCAACTTCTTTCCCCATTCCTCGGATGGGAAAAGTCATGGGTTGGTCCTGTTCCAGTTTAAAAAGAATATGCCGTTGTTATGATCCTCACAGACATTCCCACATACCAAGTCGGTTTGTTCCTTCTTCTCATATTACTTCCTTCCACATGCACGCTTTTTGGTTTCTTCCTCCATTTTATCCCCCTTACTCTAAGGTACCTTCTCTGTAGATTAAGCGTCTTTTCCCCCCTACATTGGAAACATCGCTCAAGAATATTATTGCTGTGACTGCTGCTTGACATCGATATTTTCTTTGAGGTGCTTTCTCTGTCTTTATTTTCTTGGTTTTTTTTTTTTTGGGTTATGGTTGTTTGTTCTTGGATGAGCTTTTGCGGCCTGGAGTTTAACCGTATTTTGAAGACTTCATTTCTCAAGATAGTTCTTTGCCGATTGCTTTTCTAAAACCATGTGGAAGAAGACAAAGAAATTAGGGCTTCGGTTCATTACTAAATTTGGTTATTTGAACTGAATAATTATTTATTCAAATGCACCTGCTCAATATGACCTGAATTTGTAGTTTTCTTAACTCCATCTTGCAATAATTTACGCACGGTTCTTCAATAGCCAGCCCTGCTGTTCTTTGCTTGTAATGTTAACAGTTAGGTTCTTTAGTTGTTGTTGCACCGTGAGATCGGAAGGTCCTTCAGTGCTATTTCTTCTCATGTTTGAGCAGTGTCAGCTTATTACTAGTTTCGGTTGTTAGGTGTTGTTTTCTGTGTCACACAACTATCCTTCACAGTACAAAGTAGTCATCCCAAGAAATGAAATTATCAGCTCACGCATGGGAGTGCCTTATGTAGGGTTAAGATATCGACATTGTAGTCGTAGATGTGGATAGTGAACCATAAACTTCGCGTGCACAAAAATATCCAGATATAGGATTATGATAATATTTAAGTTGAAGAAGCAAGGAAAGGCTAGCAAGAAAGTTAATCACAATATAAGGAATCTAGAATATATTTAATTTGCGAAAGATAATCAATGGATGAATAGCAGTTAATTTGGTTAAAGACATATTTAAGACACCTCCTTTCTTTTGTTCCTGTTGTCAACTTGTCATGATTGTTGCTAGTCCCGTAATTTATTAAATACTTTAGTGGATATTTAATCCAGACTTGCCTTTCCTTATGGGTAGTTTTGCTCTTGGCATTATTGTTAATACTAATCCTATCATTATTATTTGCTTCATGTACAGGATCGTGGTGCCATTCTCTATGGTATTCTGGGTGTCCTGAAATACACCTTACTGTAAGAATTGTAATATACTAAGTCTACTTTTAGAGCTTGGAATGAGTTCGGAGAAACAGTCTGCTGGTCTTCTTGACACACTAAAAATGGAGAGGGTTAGAACTATTCTAACCCATACCTACCCTTATCCTCATGAGCATTCCCGCCATGCCATAATTGCTGTTGCTGTGGGTTGCCTTTTTTTCATCTCATCTGACAATATTCATACTCTTGTAGAAAAATTAGACAATAATATTAAGTGGTGGTCCATGTATGCTTGTCTTTTTGGGTTCTTTTATTTCTTTTCATCACCATTTATAGGGAAGACTATCAAGCCAAGCTATTCAAATTTCAGTCGATGGTGAGTTACTTTATTCTGACCTGCATCTTATTTTATTTGCATTTCCTTTTAAATATATATAGCTGTATGCATGTTTATGTGTCATCTGGTATCACTAGAAGAAAGAATTATTCAGATAAATATTCAATTTGTATCCACTTTTCAGGTACATAGTCTGGATTTTAGTGGCAGCTGTGTATCATCTTCCTAGCTTTCAGTCAATGGGGGTGGATATGAGAATGAACCTGTCTTTGTTTCTAACAATCTACCTCTCTTCTATCTTATTTCTACTTGTCTTCCACATTATATTTCTGGGCCTCTGGTACATTGGCCTTGTTTCACGTGTGGCTGGAAAAAGACCAGAGATCTGGACCATTCTTCAGAACTGTGCAGTAAGTTTGAAAGATGCTTTTCTTGTCTTTCTAAGGCTTAATAATCTCCTAATGCTGTTTTCTTTATTAGGTTCTTAGCGTGGCATGCTGTGTGTTTTATAGTCACTGTGGCAATCGTGCTATCTTGAGAAGAAGGCCCCTTGATCGAAGAAATTCTAATTGGTTTTCTTTTTGGAAGAAAGAAGAGAGAAATACGTGGCTTGCAAAGTTCATACGGATGAATGAATTGAAGGATGAGGTCTGCTCTTCCTGGTTTGCTCCAGTTGGGTCTGCAAGTGATTATCCTCTCCTGTCTAAGTGGGTTATTTATGGCGAGGTACCCTTTATTATCATAGAAGTTATATAATCTGTTGAAATTATACTTATATTTGAGTCCGTTGACATCCTATGAATCTTATTAATCTTATGCTGTTGTAAGTTGTAACTCAATTCTTTTGGCATTTTAGTTAGCTTGCAATGGATCGTGTCCTGATTCATCTGATGAAATTTCTCCCATCTACTCACTTTGGGCAACCTTTATTGGACTTTACATTGCAAATTATGTAGTTGAAAGATCAACAGGGTGAGTAGTTTTTATACCTATTTTTTGTTTATTCTGTTTGCTCTTTTTTTCCTGGATTGAAGTATAGTAGAGATTAGTGAAATCATAGTTGATCTAGTTGAAGGTTTAATTGATATTAACTTGTGAGTTCTCTGATTAGTTGAAGGTTTGTGATGAGAAATTTATTTACACGGATTATGTTGGGCAGAAATTATGCTTTTATATTTCATAGAATAGGAATCCTTTTTTGTATTTTAATTCAGATTCATGTTTTCATGTCATAAATAGGTGGGCTCTTTCTCACCCTTTATCAGTTAAAGAATATGAGAAACTAAAGAAAAAGCAGATGAAGCCTAACTTTTTGGACATGGTTCCTTGGTACTCTGGGTATGTATCAATATTTGTTGTTTCCGATTTATTTATTTGTATGTATTTCGATCAGCTGAGATGACCTTGAATTAGTAGCTTACGCTTCCTCTTGATAAAATGACGCAGAACATCGGCTGATTTATTTAAAACTGTCTTTGACCTCCTTGTATCAGTGACTGTCTTTGTTGGACGTTTTGACATGCGTATGATGCAGGTAGCATTCTTTATTCCCTTATCTATTCATTATTTACTGCCATCATGCCCTCATAACTTATAGCTTGAGGTGCTTGCGTTACAGTACATTACAATTGTTTCTTGCCATCCATTGTTTACAGTTTAATGCCAATGTTTTTGGAATTTATAGCTCGAATTTCTTAACAGTGCTTTGTATTACACATTCAATTTAGAAGTGTTTGGATCTGCAAGGGATTGGGTACTTTTAACTTTGAAGGAACATTTTCATCAGTTACAACAAATCTTCCGTCAAACTTCACTTCTTTTTAACATTTTCCATATCGCTTCCAGTGACCTTGAATTTAATGCCAATGTCTTTGGAATTTATAGCTTGAATTTCTTAACAGCTTTGTATTACATATTCAATTTAGAAATGTTTGGATCTGCAAGTGATTGGGTACTTTTAAGGAACATTTTCATCAGTTACAACAAATCTTCTGTCGAACTTCACTTCTTTTTAACATTTTCCATATTGCTTCCAATGACCTTGAATTTAAAATTTAACAACCATCAGGAACAAGATGCCATGTTTCGAAAGGCCAAAGGTGGATGAGTGTTATTAATTTTTTTATATTTTACAAGTTAAATAATTTATGTGTACCTTTGCTGGTCTCCGGATTTGGATTTAAAGTTTATATCTACATTATTAGACTATATTCTGTGGAGAGGTGGCTGATTTACACCTTACACATTCATGCGGTTAAGTTTGTGTATGATGACTATTGATGTAAAAAGATTTGTTCGTCTTTGCAATTGATGACCTTTTGTTCACAGATTTGTAGTTAACTTTGTATTCATCCTTAGCTTTGTCAACAGAATATTATCTTTAGCAAGTTTTGTTTTCATCAATAGGCAGCAATGAGCAAGGTTAATGGTGGAGACGAACAAGGTGATCTTTTATATGATCATTTTACTGAAAAGGATGATTTTTGGTTTGACTTTATGGCTGATACTGGTGATGGTGGGAACTCATCTTATGCCATTGCTCGGCTGCTTGCTCAACCTTCCATTCGTCTCAGGGAAGGTGATTCTGTGCTCACCCTACTACGTGGAGACTTGCTACTTCTTGGAGGTGATCTTGCGTAAGTTCACATTTTTTGGTGGTGATGGTCACGTGGTTTAATTTGTTATTACTATCAAGCTTCCTGACCACATTGGCAGAACTCTGTAGTACATGGGAATTATAAAATACATAGCTATAGAGAAGAGTTGAGGGTAGTTAGTTAGAATTCTGTTTGAAGGTAGTAAGGTAACCTGTGTATCTATCAGCATAAAAATAAGGATGGACATGCAATGGCTGTGGGTGAATAAAAATGGACTTCATTAACGACTATCAGATTTTTGCATTCTCTGTGTACCACTCTGAGCCTTCACTCTTCAGTCTTTGATTGGTTACCCTTGAATGTTTATATGAAAGGTTCATAACCAGAAGGTGATATAATATTTATATTACCCAACATCTTGAAAAGACAATATTCAATATTCTAAAAATTTTGTCTTGCTTCGGTAATGACATATAGAGGAAATAATTGTTCAAGACATGAAGTATTAGTATCACATGATATTGCATTTCCGATTGGGTTATATGAGTAGGGTTATTTTTTGCTCCTCAGTCTGCATATTTTGAATTCTAGGGGTTTAGGTGCACTAAGAACTGATGTCCTATTGGTATTTGGGTGTACTAAATATCTAGATTTGATTGCAGATCCAAGTTTGTGCAAGTTATTTGAGATCAAAAAGAATATCATGGTCTCAGTTCTATTCTCATGCAGAATTTAGCACTTCTGAATTTCATCCTAGCTTTATTTCTAGGACCAACATTTTGTGACGGTCACAACCACTACCACCTTGCCTTTGGAAGTTTCTATACTTTGTAACTTCTGTGGCATAAATTATCTTGCTGTGATTATTGTCTTTATGACTGGCTTCACCTCCTTTGCACTTACTAGATAACTGATTTATTGAGGCTTTTTATGAGGAATTGATTGCTGGGCTTATTTATAAATATGTTAGCTTTATGTGGAACCGCAAATCTGTCTTGTTGATGATCCTAAAGTAGCACCTTTATAGTTAGCATATGAAGTTTCAAATGTTATTTGTCTTGAATCAGACATGTCTCCAAATTCTTCTTTTAAATTTTGCTGTTTTAGCCCAGAGCACTTTGATCTATGTGGTGATCTATGTGCTCTCCAGAGTTCATTTGTCTGTTATTTAGGGCATGGAGTAACTTGTAAGTTTGTAAGCATAGATTATAGATGCTTGAATTTCACTCAAGGAAAAATGTTCATTTTGCTGAGCTGTGTATATATTTATTTTGTGCAACAACTTTCTGTTTCTTCTGTTATAGGTATCCTAATCCATCAGCATTCACATATGAAAGGCGTCTTTTTGTTCCTTTTGAGTATGCTCTCCAACCCCCTCCAGGGTATAAAGCAGAGCAGATAGCTGTAAACAAGCCTGAAGTACCCAATGGTGCCGCATTAAAGCAGTACAATGGACCTCAGTGTTTTGTTATTCCTGGAAACCATGGTTAGTTTTTAGCTCTCAGGTCAAGCCCAACTAAGTTGTATACTCTTTTTTGAGTACTTTATGGAATAAACTAGATTTTCCTTTTATGTATTTGCTTCTGTTATTTATTGAATGTGATAGAGCTGAAGAATTAGAACAGATTTATATATCATTTCCTAGGGCCTATATAACATAGTCTATATGAAGGGACATGGTGTAGGAAAGAGACTAAAGAATTATCTTCCAGTGGATAAGAGAATTACCCAAAGATTCTTGGCCATAGGGGGACAAAGTGATGTATGGATAGGGATTGGGTTCAGCGAGGATTATGTTCAACCTTTTGTAACTTTTTGGGTTTTTAAATCTCTCCTTTCATCCAGAGGGAGGGGGGGAGTATTTTGAAAATTGTGAGTGGTGAGGAGAGCTCTGGCCTCTTGAATGCTAGATTGGGGTGGAGGAAGATATCTTTCTTCATCATTTGTTCATGTGTAACTTATGTTTTTGTTGCTGTACTGGGTTGTATTTTGTGTTGTTTCATGTACTCTGTACTTTTAGTTCCTTATTTTGCTGGTAATACAACTCCATTATTTTGTTTAGTCCCATTTTCCGTGTATTTTTCTGTATTTTTGCTTGTTTTAAGTTTATTAGCGTAGAGGGTTCCATCAGAATGTTATATATATGTTGCTCATAATGTCTCACCCTACCCTTTGAGAATTGCAAAAATTTTGTTCTCATCATTAAGTTATTAATGTGCACTAACATTGTTTCCTCACAGATTGGTTTGATGGACTTCAGACCTTTATGAGGTATATATGTCATAAAAGTTGGTTAGGTGGGTGGTTCATGCCTCAGAAGAAGAGTTATTTTGCTCTGCAACTTCCCAAAGGATGGTGGATTTTTGGGCTTGATTTAGCACTCCATGGTGATATTGATGTTTATCAATTCAAATTCTTTTCAGAACTGGTGTTGGAAAAGGTATATTCTTGTGTCTTTTGGATAATTTTTATTTGTTAGTGGTATGTTTAATAAAAGTTGTCATGAGCAAAGTTTGACTTCAAGAGCTTGGTGTTTTAGATTGTCATCTGTTGTCTACTTGTTTAAGATGATTAAACTATCAAAAATTTTGTTTATTGAAATGATAAAAAAATGTCAGCATTTGAAGACTTAAGATTCAGTTGGTTATGTGGTAATCTGGTTATACAATATTGATGTTAAATAAAAGAATTCAAGTGTGAAGGACTTGTTATCACATTTACTGTTAAGAGAGTTCCTTACAGGGCTTATCAAACTCTATTATGATCTTATTTTTACTGATTTCATATTTAGTTAGTTGTTCTTTCTACAGTTATCCCATCCAGCTGCTTTATTCCAGTTTACATCACTGCTTTTGAATCCCTGATCAGTGTTATGGTTAAAACTGTGATTAGCAGTTTTTTTATATGCTTCTCATTTACATTTATGTACTGGCCTCCAATCTGGATTGCACTTGCTTTGTGCCTTATTTTTGGTATTGCCCACTGATTGATCTTAAACCTCATGCGACCATGTTTAACCTAGGTTCAAGAGGATGATGCCGTGATCATTATAACGCATGAACCTAATTGGATTCTTGATTGGTATTGGAATGCTGTATCTGGGAAGAATGTTTCACACCTGATTTGTGACTATTTAAAGGGAAGATGTAAACTTCGAATGGCTGGGGACTTACATCATTACATGCGTCATTCTCATGTAAAATCCGAGGGGCCAGTTCATGTCCATCATCTACTAATAAATGGTTGTGGAGGAGCATTTCTACATCCCACCCATGTTTTCAGTAAATTTAAAAATTTTCATGGAGTTCCCTATGAATGCAAGGCAGCATATCCGTCCTTTGAAGATTCAAGTAGGGTATGTTGAACATTTATAGTTGCTTATTTTCAAATTCATAATGGATGTTCTTTTTGTGTGCATCATGTTTATGGCTTGATGCAGATTGCATTAGGAAATATCCTTAAATTTCGAAAGAAGAACTGGCAATTTGATTTTATTGGCGGCATCATATATTTTGTGCTGATCTTTTCAATGTTTCCACAAGTGAGTTTCTCCAATTCTTTGTTATTTCCTGATTCATTCTAATTTCCTTCCAAATTTTAATCACCCTTTTAGCCTTTATTTTCTTTCTTTCGCCTAGTAACGTTCGCAGAGTTTCACATATTACTTATCTAGCAAGGTTATGTAGTATAGGTAAGGTGTGACTATTCTCTTGCGGTTCTTTTCCAGTGTAAGCTGAATCACATCCTGCAAGATGATTCATTCTCTGGTCAATTGAGGAGTTTCTTTGGCACAGCATGGAATGGATTTATATACATTTTGGAACAATCTTATGTGTCATTAGCGGGAGCTATACTACTGCTAATTGCAGCATACTCTTTTGTTCCATCCAAGCTGTCACGGAAAAAACGGGCAGCAATTGGAGTTCTTCATGTTTCAGCTCACCTCACAGCGGCAATGATTCTTATGTTACTTCTGGAACTAGGTATTGAGACATGTATCCAGCATAAACTACTGGCAACTTCAGGTCAGGTTTCAGCTTCTCTTGTTGGATGACTTGGCATTGGTGGAACCTTTTACACTGCTTAAATCTTATGATAATATATCGAAATATATATGTATATATATATATGTATATATCTTTTTCCCCCAAAATAGATGAAAATGTGTGTGGGGTGTGTGAAGTGACCTTTTTTAAGCATTTCAATACCAGATGCTGAGTGCCTTGGTTTAATAATTTAATAATTTCCCACATATTCCAGTTATTTTCGTCATTACATTATATTTGAAAATGGGGAAAAAAGTCAATGATTTTGCAAAGCAGGATTCTGGCTTTGTCACAATATTTAGGGGCATATCATATGAGAACATTTTTGTGCAAACCAGGTTATCACACTTTATATCAGTGGTATAGATCAGTGGAAAGTGAGCACTTTCCAGATCCTACTGGTCTTCGCGCTAGAATTGAGCAATGGACATTTGGACTCTATCCAGCATGCATCAAGTATTTAATGTCGGCATTTGATGTTCCAGAGGTAAAAATGTTCTTTCTTCCAGAAGTTTGATCCTTCCTTACACCTTGGTAATTTTAATTGAAGGAGAATATTTTCTCAGGTCATGGCTGTTACAAGAAACAATATTTGCAAGAACGGTATGGAGTCTCTTTCTCGAGGGGGTGCAGTGATATATTATGCATCCGTCTTCCTTTATTTCTGGGTCTTTTCGACTCCTGTTGTTTCCCTTGTGTTTGGAAGCTACCTGTACATTTGTATCAACTGGCTTCACATGCACTTTGATGAAGCCTTCTCATCGCTTCGAATAGCTAATTACAAAGCATTCACACGATTTCACATCAAATCTGATGGCGATCTTGAAGTTTTCACACTTGCTGTTGATAAGGTACGAATCATTATTCACCAAATTACTTATTCACGTAAGGTGAGATGTACAGTTGCTTTCGCTAGATGAGATACCAAGCAGTAATGGAGCGTTCTTACTTCATTTTGAGACGAAACTCCATTATTTTGAAAATGTGCGATAATTTGACGTAAAAGAACTTGGCCTGGACTCTTTGCTTGATATTTGCTTAATTTTTTACTCCATATCGCCTCCCCCACTCCCAAGGAAAGGAAATAAATGAATGGAAAACAAAGATATGCATTCACTTCCCTTCTGGGCTGAGTTCAATAGTAGAATTTCCAAGAGTCAAATGATTATTGGGTTATCTATGTGTAGTTTTTGAAACCACCTTTTGTCATTTGGTATTAGTTAGCTAGGTTCCAGAACTACTCGGAACTTCTCAGAATCATGACTGAGCTCCGCAGAAATCAATGTTTTATTATAACAATCCAGTTCTTGGTTTGGTTGAATTAGATTTAACTTGGTTCATATGACAGTAACTAACACATTAGACATGCAGGTTCCAAAGGAGTGGAAGCTTGACCCTGATTGGGAGGGAGAGCAGAAAAATCCTCAACAGATGAGCCATTTGAGAAGGTTTCCCAGCAAATGGAGGGCAGCTACAGCCCACCAAGATCCAATACATACTGTTAAAATTGTCGACCGTTTTGTTATTGAACAAACAGATAAGCATGATGTAACGTCAGCAAACAGGCCGGTTCAATGATATGGTTCTCATACCTGTAATATTATTTAGGAAGCAATTTTAAGAAAAAAATAGTTATTGCAACGTGAGATCAGCTTAAGCCCCTAGTGCAATTTTGTTGTTCGAATTCGGCTGCCCCAAGAAAGCAAATTTAATTTCGACGACAATAGAATGAGGAAAGGGATAGCAAAGGCCGGGATTCCGGCGGGATAGGTTAAATCTGTTGTGGGATAGGTTAAATCTGTTGTGTGTGTAGGATAGGTTAAATTTGTTGTGTGTGTTTTTCTCTTTTTGTTAAAAAATGTGAGATATTTTTTAATTTAATTTTACATTTTAATAAAATGATTACTTATTTTTGAACTCTTCATGCACGGGGTGTGTGTGCGAGCGTGTGTGCGACTCTTTCTGTTAAAAAATGTGAGGTATTTTTAATTAAATTTTACATCCTAATAAAATGATTATTTATTTTTAAATTAACTTCATCTTTTCATATTTATTTTTATAAATACTCAAACAATTTATTCAATTAGGGCATTTTTTTTAAAAAGATTACACTTTAAAAAATTAAAATGTTTTATATTTTTTAACATTAACTTTTTAAAAAAAATTTACATTTTTTAATAGAGGAAGCATTGTTACGTGGGTTGGATTTGAGTTTTTCTTTAGACTTGACCTTTTGGTTTGGTTCAAGTCTTGCTGTTAAAAAATGAGTTGGATTGTGTAATCTTGGCTCAACCTTATAGATATAATTTGAATGGTTTAGCCTATAAAAACTCAGTTGGTAAAGATTTAGTTTATAATATATAATGATATTTGATTGAATTTTATTATTAAAATGAAAATTTTGTGGTAATTTTATAAGTCTTTTAAATTTGAAGATGTGGATCGTGATCTTGATAAGTTTTTTAAAATTCAACTCACTTAAGCTTTTATTTATAAAAAATATATATTGAATGGTTTAAATTTTAATATTATGTCATTAAATTTACTTTAATATTTTATTTCAAATAAAATAAAGGGAAAATTAATGGGTTTGAACCTCCTAGTTTGAAATTTTTTATATCACTTCATCTAGTTTGCTCCATTATACAAGTTTTGTAATATAGTTTCGTAAAATTTTAATCACTCGGGGTTTTCCAGATACGTTTAACACCGCGAATTTGCACTTCATTGCTCCCCATTTCTCTTGTTGCAAGGGGAGGGGATGGTAGGTTTTTATACTTTTTTCTAAGTCATTGGTCACACAATCTTCTGTACGGCGCTACCTGGGATTAAATGTTAGCCACATCAGCATTACACTTGCAAAGTTTCTCACCATGGCAAGGGATTTGATCACAAACTTCGCAAAACTAAAAGGATTTGCATAACGGACAATGCCACAAACTATGGGGAGTAATTTAAGAGATTTTAACACTAGAATCAAATTAAAAACTCCTAAAAATCTACGGGGACTAAATTATTATTATTTTGAACAAAAAATGCCTTGTCCTGTATCTGTTTCTCAATCCCCACTACTTGGCTTCCCTTAGAATGAATAAAATTCTCAATAGTATGATCACTATAAGCAACCCAATCTACAATGCTACTACTTGAATGCAGAAGTAAATTGTTTCTGATCCTTTGGTACATTCATTTTAAATAATCTCTAGAAAAAGACATTAAGAATTAAGATACTGCACAAATGAACAGCCTTTGAGCTAGTGGCAGAGTCTTTGCTTATTTACAGAGTACAATGAAGGATGAATAACGATGGTCTAGGTTTTTTTGACAAAATTTGCTCTATTAGTCTGACTGGAGAAAACTTTGGTAAGACATGCTTTTCAGTGCATTCTTCACTTGGTCCCAATTTTCAATTTGTTCAGACAAGGGGGCAACATGTATCTTCACCTGGAGACTTTGCAGATCCCTATATGGCACCCTCAGAAATTCTTGAACATCCTTTAGTTTCTGTGGCTGAAAATAGGAAGATTGGCATTAATAAGTGACATAGCAAAGTTTAAGCCATGAATGTGGCAGCACGTGTCATACAGTTCGGTTGCGGACAAGATCTTCGTAGTAGAGAACAATGTGACGGAGCTTTTAAAGTATTCAATGGTTTTGCAGCTGTCTCCTCTCTCTACTTAAGCTCTGCTATTAGTGAAGTGATATTGATTCGAGGTTTGTACTTGGCAAGAATTTTAGCCTGCACTCTCACATTTCATCCATTTTAATTTCTAAGAACGAACTACATAAATATAAATATAAATATAAATATAAATATATATATATATATCTATATGTATGTATGTATATAGACCTCCTTCTAGGAGTACACGAGACTTGTGGGTTCCATTCAGTGGCTTTGTGTCTTTTGTCATAGATATTGGCCAGCAGTAGCAGAGAGACCATTCTTCGCAACAAATTCCTTCTAAACAGAAAAATCAAGGAAACTCGTGCTGTATTTAAGTATTGCTCTATCTCTTCGTGATAATCCATCAAGCCCTGCATTATAACTCGAAGCATCATAAGAATATGTACGGAATACAATTCATATTTGGCGATGCAAAATTAAAGAATAAATGGGCATCACCTGATTGAGCATCCACTGGAAGCCAACAGCAGCAGAGCACTCATTCTTGGAAGCACTGGTGAACCAATCAAGATTATAAACTTTATCCATTGTGGCATTGTGTTCAAAATGGAAGTGATGTTTTGCCTTCTCTTGCCTATTGATAATGCTTCTCCATTAGAGCTTATGTTGATGTGACTGTTCAGCAATATCTCAAACCATCAGCTCCCAGATCTTTGCATTGAAATAATGGCGAAAAACCGAACGAGATTGCAAGCACACTCCTTTCTGCACATTCACCATTGGTCATGCCAAAATTAAATTAATTAAGTTGAGGCCACACTGATTCTGCTTAGAATATACCTGCTAAATGCCTCAGGTTGCGGATAATGCAAGTATGGGACTCCTGATGCGTGGATGCCAAAGGAGCTATGTGAGTGTTGTCGAACATCTGGCAACCAATATTGGATTGAACAATACGATATTATTGAACTACAAAATACCGGATTTAATCTATATAAATATAATGTCTGGACCTATATATAACACTTCAACCTAGAATAACAATACCACCCTACAGACTAAATGGGCTTAAGCCCATAAAATTTATCATTATTTGGCTTTAACACTCCCCCTTAAGTTGGAGTTATACAGATCAAAAACACCCAACTTGCTCATTATATATTTGTGTGCATCGCCCCCAAGTGCTTTAGTCAAAATGTCTGCTTGTTGGTTGGATGATCTCACATGTTGCAAGCTTATTAACTTTTGTTGCAGCTTCTCTTGAACAAAATGACAATCAATTTCAATATGCTTTGTTCGCTCATGGAACACAGGGTTGTTTGCTATGTGAATAGCAGCTTTATTGTTGCAGTGAATCTCTGCTAATCCTATTCTATGAATTTTCAGATCAGACATCAATATACTGATCCAAGTGACTTCTGCTGTTATAATAACCAAGACTCGATATTCAGCCTCTGCTGATGACTTGGAGACTGTATTTTCTTCTTGGATTTTCAAGGCACAGGTGAATCTCCAACTTTCACTATGTATCCTGTAACTGATCTCCTAGAATCAGAACACATTCCCCAATCTGAGTCACAGAAAGCTGTTAGTTCCATGTCATTTGTTGAAGACAGTAGAATCCCAAGGCCGGGATTTCCTTTGAGATACTTAACCACTCGCAATGCTTCATCCATATGAGATCGTTTGGGTTTCTGTATAAACTGGCTAAGTGCTCGCACGGGAAAGCAAATATCAGGTCGAGTCATAATTAGGTATAATAATCCCCCAACAAGTTGCCTATAAGACGTAGGATTATGCAAAAAATAGTTAGGCCTTTGTTTCTTATTTTTCTTACTGCTCTCACTGTTGTTCTCCTCTTTAGTCTGAATATCACAAGTCAAATGTATATTTTGTTCCATAGGAGTAGTAATAGGCTTTGCAGCACCTAAACCAACATTAAGAAGTAAAGCTAACACATATTTTCTCTGATTTAAGACTATACCTTTGTCAGATTTGGCAACTTCGAGACCTAAAAAATATCTCAAAACTCCCAAATCCTTAATCTTAAAATTTGTATGCAAGTGACTCTTAACCTTATTTATCTCTTCTAAGCTATGTCCAGCAATAACAAAGTCATTCATATACATAATCACAATAACTATTTTCTCCCCTTTTCCTTTTATGAAAAGTGAATAGTCATATCTACTCTGTCTAAAACCACCAGCAATTAAGGCATTAGTTAAATTGACATTCCACTGCCTAGAGGATGGCTTAAGTCCATATAGGACTTAACTTGCCTACACACTCCATTAGGTTTAGATTGTTCAAAGTGGCATGGTCATAAAGATCTCCTTGTCAAGACCGCCTTGAAGAAACGCATTGTGAACATCCATCTGGAAAATGGGCCATCGGTGCACCGCAGCCAGCTTCAGAACAGTTCTGAGGGTGACCATTTTGAGCACCGGAGAGAATGTCTAAGAATAGTCGACCCCTCCCTTTGATTGTATCCTTCTGCTACAAGTCTGGCTTTGAGTTTATCCAAGCTTCCATCAGCCTTGTACTTAAACCTTGAAGACCCATTTACTTCCAATGGGTTTCTTTCCGTGAGATAGTTCTACCACACCCCAAGTGTGATTGGCCTTCAATGCTTGAATCTTGTTCTTCATTGCTTGGACCCATCTAGGATCTTTTACTGCCTCGTCATGTGAACCTGGTTCTAAAATGAATCAGTATTTGAGATGTAATGTTTGTAAGAGGGAGAAACATTAGAATAACACCAGTACGACTGTATAGGATATAAAATAAAAACTCCCTTTGCATTTTTCTGATGCTGTACAGACTGTACATCCCCATTTGTAGCTGGATCTGGAGCCGGTAAATTGATACATTCATAGTCTCTCATCCATCCTGGTGTTTGTTGTCTGGGTCTAAGAAGTGATGGAGGCATCTTGTGGTCTTGATTGTCCTGGATCATTGGCTTTGTGATTCTGTTAAGTTTGATTGATCTTGCTGCTGTGCATCTTGAGTCAACTGCTGCTCCTCCATATGTGAACCCGATTCATGCTCATATAGAGAGGGGTCTAATTGCTGAAATTTTACTCCCCCTTGGTTCATACACATGTGATCTTTAAAAGGAAATTTATCCTCTGAAAAAATAACATGTCTGGAAACTAATAAAGATCTATTTTTCAAATTATATAAGAGATATCCTTTGTTAGTTCCAGGATATCTTAAAAACACACAAGGATCATATTTAGGTTTAAATTTATTTGAATTATGCATTTTAGAAGCAAAAGCAATACAGCCA